TATATATATATATATATATATATATATAATATATAAAACTTTGTGAATAAGAGGGAAAATAAATAAAAAAAAAAAAGTTGAATTTTTTGTTTCTTCAGAATGCAATGAGGGCAACAGTAGATCGTTATTTGTCTCAACCTAGGAGAGAAGAAGAAGGAATAGATCTACCTGCTGCCTCTGCTGTTAGTGCCTCTTCCTCTCCTCCTTACTCCCGCATGTGGGGCAGAGAGGGTCTACCAGAGGACCTCAATCCTCTTGGCCCTAGAAGCAGCAGCAACAGCAGCAGCAGCAGGAGTAGCAGCAGCAGCAGCAACAGCAGCAGCAGCAGCAACCGGCGGAGGTATGGACTACGCAACAGTCCTTTCTTGTACTCGCAGAGCCTCTCGCAGGGAGCGCCACAATACCAAACAGCCGAGGAGGTCGCCGACCCCTCGCTGCCTCCTGTGCAACTTCTAGTGGCTGGAGATGAGCATTCTGTATCTATACGGGTAAAGAAACAGCAACCATCCCAACAGCAGCAGCAGCAGAAGTAATAGGATCAGCAGCAGCAGCAACAGAAGCAGCAACAGCAGCAAAAGCACCCCCTGTTGCTGCTGCGTTACACCATCACACAACACTGGAATTAGCTGACGGGTAGGACCCCGTGGCATTCCCCCTCAGCAGTTGTTTGTTCTCTTGCTGCACCTCATGCATTACTTGCATGTTTGTGCCTCTGCTGCTGCTTGCGCGCTCCTTCTGCCGCCAACAGCCCGTTACACCTGGCTGTGTTTGCATCCTTGTTAGCTAGCCAGGTAACTAGGTAGTCAACTAACAAGCTAGCCAGTAGGAATTGATGTATGTGAGCAGATAGCTAGCTAGATAGTGTGTGCTCTTTGGTGCGTATGCATGCAGCTGTCGGACATGGGGGGAGGAATCAGTAACGAGGCGCAGCCAAGGATATGGAGTTATATGTACACAACAGCCAAGCCTGTAAAGTACGACCCAATGACTGGGTCTGTGGTGTATTCGCAGACCCCTAGGCATCATGAGCAGCAGCAGCAGCAGCAGCACCAGGGGGGAGTAGGAGGAGCAGCTGAGACGGGTCCACCATCTCAATCGGTGACAATTGGTTCTTTAGACTTCACCACAAAAGAAGAAAGGAGACAATTCAATGCCTCCCCGCTTGCCGGGTTTGGCTGTGGGCTGCCGCTCTGCCGCCTCTATGCGTCCTACTTAGGGGGGAGCCTCTCCGTAATATCCATGCCTGTTCATGGTACTGACGCGTATATACACCTAAGACGTATTGGAGATCAGCAAGTGCGCCACACAGACAGACACCAATACAACAATAATCAAGAATAGATGCAGATGCATGCATGTAGACACTGTAGTAAGTATATAGTAGTAAATATGCATGCGCCATACACAGGGGCAACAAGGAGGTAGCACAATCATCAAGTAAACAGCAAAATACGTAAACACGAACAAATAAACAAGACAGAAAACCCTCACTAATTCCACGTGCTAGAAGCAACAGCAGCAACAACAGCAACATGAACAGCAACTGGAACTGCTGCTGCTGCTGCTGCGGTGGGTTTGGGGGCATCACTAGATATATTCCTTTTTTTTTTCTGTAGTCTTATTGCAGTAAGGGAATATATTTGCTCCGAAGCTTTCTTTGTTTGTGCCTCCTGTTCCTCTATTAGCGTCTACCTCCTGTTTATGTCATTCTTTTCCTCCTTATTTACTACCCTTTGTATCGTTTCTCCATCTCCCTGCTTATGTTGTCCTTTCTTTCACTGCCCCGTCTCGCTTGTGTGTGTTTGCTTCCCTTCGCATGCTTCCTCTCTCCCCAGGAACTTATGCCTTCCTCAAGTGCTTGGATCCAGCCACACATAGAGGGGGCTGCTCCGCTTGTCAGGGGGCCCCGCATGCGCTGCAGGGCCACTTAAGCTGATCCTTACTTACTTACTTGGCGAGTGTTGCGGAGGTTGCTACGGCGTAACCACTGCAGCCTCCCTAGAGACAGAGGTTGTGGAGAGGCGCGTATGAGGGAACTGCAGCAGCAGCAGTTGCTGCTGTTGTTGCTGCAGTTGGAGCTGTCGCTCACTGCTGCTGCTGCTGCATACATTACATCTCTCCCAACCCCTTCCATGCCGGGATTTTTTACACAGTGCAGATGCCTGCAAGCTCCGTGCCGAGCTCTCCGGCACAGCGCGGGACCTTGGATGCTCGCACTGTGGGCCCCACAGACTGACTGCGGTTTTCGTCCCTCTGCCATTTAGAGATAGAGACCCACATCCGGGTAACTGTGTGTCCGCCCTTATCACCACAGATAGCCTGGATGTTGATGCATGCAAACTCTCAACGGCTATATCGAAGCTCCTCTCTGTTGGCAGAGGCGGGAGATGCCCGCAGCACACATAGCCCCAATTCGGGCCCCAAGGGCTCTACAATTACTTGAAATTACTTGCCTCGCAGCCTCTTGGCTAACAAGCGCATTACATATCGAATTAGCGTGTAGGCCGCTATTGAACTATTCACCAGATGTACTCGAACACTAGATTTTTCATAAGAAAAGACGTGGCTATACATACACGACGGGTAGTGCGCGGCATTGGGGGTGGCTGTATGCTAATATGACTAGCTTCTGGGTTGCTTGGTGCCTTGTACGCATAGCATGAGCATGCATACACGTGCATGCTCATGCACATTCACGTACAACTATGCAATAGTGTCCGTGTTCACTTGTACCTAAGCAGAGACGTGCGGCTTCCTACACGTCATGTTGGCAACGGCAAACAATTATTATTAGAAAATTAAAAAACAGGGTCATCCTCGCATCCTGATGCGGGAGAACTGCAATTAGGTATGCTTGCATGCAACACACCTGGAAGCGCAACCATCCTGAAGCACAAAGACTGCTTGCATGTCTTGCGTCCACAGAGACACGAGCGCCAAGCGGAGAAAAAACACAAAAGCCTATATGTGCAAAGAACAGTTGTTACCCGAACACCTAAGGTGGTGGATAACGTCTATATGTTTGATATGCGCTTCTTCTCAGGCACATAAGTCTGCCCTATATGTATATTAAAACGTTTCAGCTGCACACAGCCCATGACAGAGAGGAACTGTGCTTGTCTCTGTGCATGCACTTTCTGTCTAAAGGGCATGTATCTAGCCATGAAGCACTCTCTGTTCACGTTTTTTGTTTCCTTTTCTTCTGGTTTGCCTTCGGTCGTATCGGAATGGATGGAGCTCGAAGGACTCAGTACTTTTCCGTCCAACAAACACTCGACTGCGCAAGCACTTCATTTCTCTAGCCGCTTCATACTGCCTCCCTTTATTCCGTGGAGCCAAACGCAGTCTGCCTGCCCCTCTCCCACGGTTTCCCAGCCTGTTGGTTCCTCTTCCATCTGGATAACTATATAGTTAGTTAGCTCTTGGCTAGATGCACGCAGCAGACTGGAAGTGAGATTTGGCGCCCTTGCTCACGCAGCGAAACAGTAGAGGTGTGCATTTCGAGCTATCCAGCTGCCTGACAGGTACGGTCAGGTACAGTCGATGGATGTCCTAAAGGTCTCTATGCCGATCTCTTTCTGAAGCTGCCTGGTAAGCCTTCTCCACTTCTGCAGCTGCGGTGTCAAGAAAATTCTTGTCCATCTTGAGCTTGCGTTTCATGCGCAAGGCCATCCCTGGAACTTCTTGGCGCCAAGTGGTCTCTAGGGCAATATCGAGCTCTGCAGAATCACCCACCACAAGGATACAGATACACACGCTGATCTTGCTGCATGCATGCACAAATGGCCCTCTAGGGGCGTTGCAGGTTTTCACGCAGCATGCATCGAACTACCATTCTACAGCACCTTCTAGCAATACTCGGCCCCCACTGGGCCTGCCGGGAACACGACGTTCCTCGCCGGTTCTCTCCGTGCATTCAATGCAATAACACCAGCAGGAATAGCCACTACCACAGTAATAGCAACAGCAGCAACATCGACAAAAGCAGGAACCCGTCCACCAGTACCATGGTCAACCAGGAGAAACAACACCCAGTCAGCAGCACCGAACGAAACAGCAGCAGTAGCAGTGGCGATCTGTTGTGCATACCGGGTCCAGCAACATAAGGTCTTCCTAACCAGGTGTGGATGAAAGGGCTGCTACAGAAGCTGCTCCATGTGGCTTCAGGGAGCAGGTCCGCAAGAAGGGTAATGCTGCACGGGAGGGCGTGAACGTGAGTCCAGACAAGCGTCATGCTTTGTTTGAACTTGAAATACTTCTTAAGGCCCGTTACCCGCGATGCATAACCAACAACTCTCCTCAAGCGGCTTCCCACCCTCACGGACTCATCCAGCCAACACAGTCCCGAGTACAAAATATCCCCCCCCTTGCGTTCAAAGACGTGGGCGCGGGCAAGCGAATGCAGCGGAATCTGCAGCAGCATACACCCTCACGCATGCACTCATCAATGTATGCACATGACGACTCCCACATAGATAGACGCAAACTATTCTACCAACGCATCCCTATGCATACAAAACAAAGACACCAACCCACAAACATAATGTACTAAATCTATAAATTCATCCATCCATGCGTATGCATATACGCATGCACCTCCATACGCACTGACAGACACCTGCGCAATATAACACCGCAACTGTCTGGATGTATGGAGAAAGAGCGAGCCGCACCACTACAGTATGTTCCCAGTCGCGCTCCATATACCCTTTTCCTTTTGACTGCCGCAAGTCAGGAACAGGATCAACGTCAAGGACAATGTGGTGATATATCGCGCCGTGCCTATTCAGCTCCTCAATCGCAGCCTTGTCGCCTATCTGTGAACCAGCAACACAGCAGCAGTCACAGCAGCAGAAGCTCACCAACAGAAGTCCCATGCGGGTCGGACAATAGAGTAACAAAGCTTTTCGGAGGTAATCACACAGTGAATGCAGGGCCAGTGTTTGCCATTGACCACTACTCTAACGCACAGGGCTCCGTACAAACTTGCGTCTGAAGCTAAACGATAGCTGCATGCTATAAGTTGCACGGGAAAAACGACCTGTGTCCCGTGTGTGGGGAGGGGGGGGCGCGATACATATGGGCGTGGGTAGCAAATAATGCGCTGTAAGCCAGGTAGTACAAGTAGAGGAGCAGCGAGTGGCGCTCAAGCACATTTTGCCTGTTGCGTCTACTGCAATTCTCCTACTCAAGCAAGCAACAGGAACTCCGCTTACCATAGGAGAAGCGAAGGTTATGCAGTAAACTGCGACAAGGCCCTTCTTGACGAACGCACTGAGGTGTTTCGAGACAAACCATGCCGCGTAGCTGGCAGAGGCCCCTCCCTGGGAATGTCCCGTGAACACAACCACGAACGGTTTCTTCTTGGTGCTTTTGCTTCTACTGCGGCGGCGAAGAATAAGCTTAACCTCATGAACAAAACGTGTCATGGGTTTTCTGATTGTCTGGTGGAACAAAAAGTTCAATCCCGAATGTACCCAGGCGTTCGGGGAAAAAAATGGATCGCGAATCGCTCCTACCATCGTGTTAAACGTCCATTGCTGCATGCGCACACCCAAGGTAAATACACACGAACTCACATACACACACAATCCACATGCAGGCATGGACCCCACCAAGCCATAAACACAGCCATACGGGTGCCTCAGTGTACGTGAGAGGATGGATGGATGGATGCATTCATGCATGGCTCAAGTAGCCCAGCACAGCGTCACAGTGTCCGCTCATGCATGCTGAAGCTGCTGCTTTCAGTCGGACCCCTGCCAAGGGGTCCGACTGAAGGCAGCAACACGGGGCATCGGATGAACGGTGGCCAACTATCTTTCCTCATCAGCAAGCGTAAGCACAGGTGTAAACCTGTATTTGGTTGTACTGCAGTCTGCTGCCTGCACACCTTAGGCTGGCCTGTGCCTTTGAATGCCCATATGACGTCTGCTCGGTGTACGGGTATCGCCAACGTCTCTCCTTCCCGTGGCTGTTGACCATCTCTGTCACTGGCCCCTATGCCTACATCCTCGTCAACATTCAACACCAAGGACGGCAGCGTGGCAACGTTTCCGAATGCACTATCGCTTCCTGCTGCTGCCTCTGCTGTGGCTGAAGCAGCACTTGCAGTCTTCTTCGCTGCAGCAGGTGAATCACCAGCAGCAGGGGACGATTTGAGGTTCAAATCCCATCTGAAGACCAGAGGTGCTGGTATTGTCATGCGGTGAGTGGCATCTCGATCGCAGACATCCGGATTAATAGATGGAAGCCGTTTGTCCTGCACAATAGTGTGCGGAGGCTTGGGGTTGCCGACGATCTCCGAAAGGGATGGCACTGCCTTGGCGTCCACCAATTCCCGCGTCCTTTCATCCAAGATATAGGGTTCAGTGGCCCCCAAAGAGGAAGCTTCGGGGGACCGCGAAGCTCGCACCACACGGGGTGGAAATCCGATTGAGCGAACGAGCTTCAGGTTAGAATTTGATAGCGCGCGAGACCCTGCCTCCGTCAAACGGCCCCCAACAGAGTGCATAAGAGCTGTCAATACACACCAGCAAAAGACATCACGCACGTACACATTCACGTGGGCCTCGGCAAGCCTCAAAAACATACGTGCACGCATGCCGCAGCACTCCTCTCACTCCCTGCCCCCCGCGGTTAACGCCATGTCTACTGATTTGCTTGCGCCCCGTACTACTGCGTCCTAGTCTCTCGTCTCCCGTGTCATTCTGTCTCGCTATCGACTCTCTGTGCCTTGCTGCAAGCGTGAGTCTCCGCGTCAATGTGGTTTCTCTCTGTCTTCCTCTCTCCCCCGGGCACATACCATTTTCCGAGAAAAGGGCGGTGCCGACGTAGGAAGGAATGAAGTGTTTTAAAAGTACTTCGTCGAGAGGAACGTTGGTGTAGTCGTCAATGAGATCCGAGATTCTATATGCGTAGTATGCGAACTGCCAAAGCACAAGAGCTGACCGAAAGTACAGTCGGTGCACGCGCTCGAGTCTCCGCGAACCCTTGAATTGCCTGCCGTCCGCAAACACCTCTCCGCCTAGTGCCCGCATCTCCAAGGGAATATCGACTGTTGCCTGATGCTTATTGAACAGTTCTAGCAGAGGAGACGGTGGTGCAGCAAAGCGCTCCACTGTACGTCTCCCAATAGACGGCAGCAAACGGTAGGGAAGATGCGCACGACAATTAAAGACTGCGAAACAAAAAAGCAAGCCAACTCAATAACCGGCACGTCGTGGATGGCAAATACACATCAAGGTCTGGGCAGAGGCGGATGCCTCGGTGGGAGGCAAACACAGAGAAAGCAAAATAACGCGGAGGCTCACGCTTGCAGCAAGACAAAGAGAGTAAGGCAGCGAGAGAGAATGATACGGGGATGAGAGACTAAGACGCAATGGTAGCGATGGAACAAACGCACCGTAACAGAGGCGACAGGGAATGAAATCACACTACTAGACAAACTCTACCCGCTAGATCCGAACACAGAGGCGACTGTGCCATTGGCGTCCGTGTTTCCACACGGACGCCAATGGCACACGAAAGATAGCAGCAGTTCCAACCGTGATGAGACTCGAACATGCAGACGCGTGCATGGATGCAAGTATGCATGCACGCGTGCAGACGTGCATGCACGCAAGAACGCCAGACGGTGCTCGGTGGCTGTGTATCGTTCCCACTTGAGGAAGCCAAGGAAAACACGACGGGCTCCGGTCCTCTATTTCTCTGCAATGCATGCAACGCGGCAATCGGGAAAAACAGGTCTTCAGCAGCCTTCACCTCTGGCCACACTCTGCCCTTCAGCTCTGAACAAACCAGACCAACAATGACACACAGCTTCGAGCTTCCATACGAACGCATTCCAGCGGACGCTACACCAGAATCAGCGGCAGTAGCAGTGGTTTGGCTGGTGAACGCTGTGACCGCCCGTAGTATATGGTGGTGCGTATCCATGTATGTAGCTGAATGCAGATTCTTTCATTCGACAGAGGCAACGATACACAAGGGAAAGAGAGTCACAGCAGTGGCCAAGCTAAGAACACGTTTGCAACAATGAATACAAATACAGCTGATAAGCGAACTACCAACAAAACATGCAGGAGAAGGTCATAGCTCAGCGGTTCTTCTGTCATGGCGGGCAGATTTGTATAACTGCCCGCTGTTGAAGGAAGGACACCAAAGAGAACAAACAGGTTAGGTGAGGCCGTGAAAAATAAACGCATGCAACACTGACGAAAGAGGGCCTTTGCGACGTTTGGCCTATCGGGCAAAAGCCCGTAAGGGGAGGTTACAAGGCCGTGCCACCACTTGCGGGTCGGATCGTATCCGCCCATCGAACTCCTCAGCTCCTCGGCACTGGTGGCGTTGGTCCCGTCCAATTCCTCCCCCTCAAAGAGCCTCTCATCTGCTAGCTCTACTACTGATTCTGATTCCGCTGCACTCGCCTCATTCGAAGGGGCTGCTGCTGCTTCCAATTCTGCTGCGGCAGCTGCGTCCTCCTCCCCTAGAGAAAACGCAGCAGGTGGGACCGCAGCAACAGGTGATGCAGGGGGGAGCCTTGAATTGGAACCTGCCGCATGGAGGCGCACTAACTGTCCCATCTTCTCCGCAAAAGCGGAAAGGTGTCTAAAGGAACAAGCTGCAGCTAACGGCCCCAAAGGTTTGTCCATAAGATACACTGGAGAATACAGGCCCCCGCACTGCAGCTGGTCTCCATAAGCTTCAGGATGATACAACGCTGATGTGCCGAAGTCCCGAAGGTCAAACACTTCAACTACATCTCCTAAGGACAAAGAGGAAGGAGGCTGCGGCCCGAGGGCCACTCGAGATGTTGCTTTTCCTGAACTGCCGGCGGACTCTCCTGAAGGGTCCACTGCCGGGTTCCAAGTAAACTTGTCCACCCACCAGCTGCGTGCTTGCCGCTGTGCCAGAGGAACCCAGTAGAATTTGCTGCCGCTGCTGTTGCTCTCTTCAACCTGCAACCCCAACGGCTTGTCGTCACTGATTTCGTCCCAGTACTGCTGCTGCTGCAACGGTTTGGAGCTGCTGCTGCTAGCATACTCGGGGATTTGAATGGGGGACACCCTCCTGCGAAGACGTTCATTTTCTTCCTCCACCTCTTTCAGCTCTGGTGTGATGCCCTGTAACAGCGGTCTGTGGTTGAAGTCAAGTAAAATCGGGGCCTCCGCGGCGACGCAACTATCAAAAAGGCGCCGAGACTCACCTGTGTCGGTCAGCGGCTCCCACAGCAAATGCAGCAGATTCAGCGAAAGTCCTTCCTTACCGCTGTTTTTGCTGCTGTTGCCGCCGCTATTGTTGCTGTCTATGCTGCTGCTGCTGCCCGTCTTCAAGAACGCGTCTAAGGCATCGCCCCCAGCAGGACCATCCGACGGCACATGCTTCGAAACATCGCTAGCCCCAGAGGCATCCTCGGCACCACGAGCCTTTCTCGATGCCCCAGATTCCCGCTTATTATTTTCTAACTTATGCGAAGGATCCCCTGATGTCCCGTCGCTTGATTCAAAAGGTTCTATGCAGATAGCATGAAGCAGCAATAGCAGCAAGCTGCACCGTAGAGCAGCAAGCAAGAGGCGTCGCATGTGCGGCGTCTGTTGCCCCATACTGGCCGGAGACTATGACGAAGACAGAGGGAGCACAAGAGCGGCTGTTTTAGGTGTTTATCTTGCAGCTGTTGCTGCAAGATAAGCGTTCAGATGCAGGTGTTGTTCCTACTGCAGCTGCTACAGTTACAGCTGTTATGGCTGCTGCTTTTGCATCTACAGTTCCTGAAAACACGGGTGCAATAACTGCTCCGGAACGTTGTGCCGCTGCTGCTGCTGCTGCTAAAGATGCCAAATATGCTGTTGCTGGTGCTGCTGTTGATGGTGCCACCCCGTGTGCGGGCGCTGGAGTTTGAGCCTAGGGCAAGAGACTGTTGCAGCAGAAAGAGGATATGTGGGCGAATGGTGGGCGTCCGAAGTCATGAGGCCACAGCTTTTCATACAACTAGAAAACTCTAGACTCTGCGGCAGGAGAAAAGAGCCTCTAGATGGTAAACCCACGTGTCCATATGCTATGCTATCATTTAGATGACAACAACACACACTCGAGAACTGCTGGAGCTTTCTGTCCTCAGTTACGCTCGCCTCAACATTGAATGCCTCTTCCTGTGGGCGTGCGGCTCCGGAGCAGTCAACAGAACGAAGGAAGACCGGTAGGGGTCCCCGTCACCACAGAAGACTTCCGATGCATGTGCAGCGCAAGAAGAATAAACAAAAAAACTAAAAAAAGAGGTACTAACTACATTCGTGGGCCTTACTGGGGCTGTCCCTCAGGGGGCCGCTGTTCGCTCCAGCCGCGCTGGTTGCGGCTGCTGCGGCGGGAGCTGCTCTTTACAGCATTTGCATGTTTGTTGGGCGTTTCTGAAAACCTCCTACAACAGAGAAAAGCAAAACTGACGCCATAATATGCAAAGCACTTCGTCTGCGAACGAATTTAGGATGAAGTCAACTGTGTTATTTAAGGTGCCAGCGATTGTATGGCTCGAGCGCTCCCTGGGTTTGGGATTCTCCCAAAAGAAATTTCTAAAACGGGGAACTCTCACTAATTTGACAGTGTAATGATGTTCCCTTACTCATAGTTTCACTTCGCCTGCTTTTGCTCGGGACAGTCGCCACGTACGGGTTTACGATGTGTGTTCGATCCAATCGAAGGAGAGCAACGAGCGACAGTGAATAATTAGAAAGATTTTCTTTAAAAGCGTGTGCCTTGCATCACCAGTCTAGACTTTCTGTGCAAATAAACCCAAGCGTCTCCGCCTGAGGGAGCGTAGTAAGTGTGACAGGTTGCAGCGCAACTTACTGGGACTCAAGGTGGAAGATAATCCCACACACAAGCACAGCCAAACAGACCCGCAGTGCTGCATACTGTAGAACTGTATGCAATTGGTTTAGAACTCGGATTGCGTGTAGGATGCCTATTAAGACACCGCCTTTGTTCATGAGCTGCCCGGAGGCAAGCGTGCTACTGTCGCGCAGACTATGCTGCAGAGAGAGCATTATGTGTTGAGGAAATTTGTTTGTGGAGATTAACTGAGATGTACATGGGGTTTGACGGTACTAAGCCTGATAGCTAGTGCAAATGGATCTGTAATACCTTGCTGCACGCACGTCTACGGGCAAAGCAGCTACAGGAAAGCCTAGTGATTTACAGGCTTGAGTGAGCAAGAATAAACCTATTGAATGCACCTGGAAGGCTGCTCCTCTGTTAGTGTTTGAATATAGCGTTTACAGATTAGACGTCTATTCACGGGGACCGCTCTCCCGTCCCTTGTTCCCTCAGTGACTCGAATTGCACGAGCTGCCGACGGTCAGCGCACCCGTAAACAAAAGTAGAAATCTAACCATGTGAACGAAGCGATAAGAAACAGAAATCAAGTAGGAAAAAGGAATAAGTACGGAAAAATTAGGAAACGGAGACCGGGGAGGGTCTCTCTCTCTGACGTCTCCTTTTTAAATCCTCTTCCTTCGAGGAACAACTAGAATGAGCACAGAAACCAGCGGAGCAAGGGCAGCATTTCCCTATTATGTAGGCCTCTGGGAGAGGCTATTGTATTCTCTGCAGCCCACTCAAGACCTGCTGTTGGCTGCCTCGACCCACTGCCGAATGATGTCACCTAACACCGCTGGCAGCTGCCGAGTGTCTCTGACCACTGCATAGTAGGGGAAGGGAAAGTCTTGCAAATAAGGTGTGACCTCCATGCCGCCACCAGGCAACTGCTGCACTTGCTTCAAGTCAAATATGCTGCTGCTGTGCGCAGGCACGCCTGAAGTTGCACCGGTCCCACAGGGCTGCAGCTGCTGCTTTTGGGGGTCGGGATCAAGAATGAGCAGCAAAGGGATGCAGCCCCGTGCAATCGCTGCGTTTACCCAGGGCCGTGCTTGCTCCTTATTGAATCTGCCGTCAGACAGGATGAGAGCCATGCTTGTTGTGTTGCTGCTGTTGCTGCTGGTGTCCTGGTCAAGCTCATGTATCGCCAGTTGCAGCATATCCGTTACGGCAACTTCGTGGCTCTTGTGCGACTCCTCTTTAAAGCTGCAGCGCTGTAGTAGTCGCTGCCCATCCGCCGCAGAGACCTGCGACGTGGGGTGTATGCACACTTCCGGCTTGGGACCTCCAAACGTACACACGCTAACAGTGCCGATCTGCATAGATAACAAAGAAAGACACAGAACACGCTTCGGGTTTTCTTGCACTTCCAATGTATTCGTCCATGCAAAGTCAATGCTACCGCCCCGCCGACTGGCCTCTCCATGATGGCAGTGAAACAAGGATTAAAACCGGCAGCAAATACATGCATGCAAATGCATGCATGCATTCAAAGACTAAAAGCATGGAGGTAAGCATTGAACTCCAACCGTTCGATGCAATCATGCAATTAGCACAATGCATGCAGTCGAGACGCATTCGCGCATGTAAATGAGATACACGTATTTTTAGTTCCATCCACAGAAGAACCAATGCACGCATGCACGCATCTAGTGTAGTGTACGTGTGGCCCGGACTCGGCTTGAAAACTACTATAGAGCGTCATGGGGATGCAATGCCATGGCGGCAGTCAGTCCCTCTCTCAGTTAGGTGTCTTCCTCGTCAGAGGCCACAGACAAAATCACGTATGAAGCACAGCAGACTGCACGCACTACGAACACAACGAACTCGAAAATGAAGCGAGCATCAACGCCAGAACGACAATCCCTATCGATGGTCGATGAACACGCAAGAACTCTTGGACCACACCAACCCACAGACAGGCATATGTGAAGCCTGTTTGTATGCATGCACGCATAAAGTAGAGACGCTTGGCGATTCTGTGTCAGATGCATGTGGCAGAGCAAACCTGGAGGTGGTTGAACGCCTGGGACAAAAGGACAACTGCTTCCAGAGCACTTGAGGCGGCATTTAGCTGCTGCATGGAGCTACTGCAATCAATGCCCACAAGTACGCGGTACTGAAATCCTTGAGGGCGCCGCCTACGGAGCCAGAGGCGATCATCTCGCTGCGATGAGGCAACGTAGGCCAACACCCGCCGTAGGCTCAGCTTTTTCCCTGGACACACTCAAGACCACATACACTCGTCATTAAGAAATAGCCTCCAAGACGTAAAACCAAACGGGGTTTTCAAGCACTACACCTTGCGCTGCTGATGTGCTGTCGCGCTGCCGGCTCCAATTTCTAACCCTAAGCTCCAGAGTTAACAAGAGGAATAAAGTAGCTAATGATTTATAGTTCACAAAGAAAACGACAAACATTTCATAAACACGCACGACGTCCAATATTGTAAATGTGCATGCATCGTGCTGAATACAGTCCGTTGCATGCATACCGTGGCATGTAGGTGCAACTGTACACGACCTTTGCATTCTGTAAGCGCCCGCAATACATGTAGCAGAGTAGGAAACGTTCTGCTCGACCCTGTGCATGCATGTGTACATACCTGATCTATAGCCTCCTTCCCAAGCACCATTCGCAGTCGGCTGCAGCACTAAACGGAGCGTTTCGCTGAGGCTCACGGCTGCTGCTGCTGTGCGGCCTTCCAATAGATGCCAAAGCGCTGTACATACATGCACAGAGTGGAAGTGGATGCAGAAGCATAAGTACATGATATCGTGTATCTAGGCAAGCTCATGCACACTTCTCTGCTGCTGAAAGCACGCATGTATTGAGTTGACCACAATATACGCGAGCACACGGCACCTGTGAAATGTCATAGTAGGATTTAAAGTGATAATTTATACTGCACTCCGAGATACAACCAACGTTTGGTTGGCGCATGTAGATGCTGACCTGCTGCGTGTTCCGCAGACAGTCCATCCTTTCCCACGTCGTCCAGAGACAGCCTCTGGTGCAAATCCGCCTCCATTAGTTTGGTCTTCTCTTCCTCTTCTGGATTTCGTGGATCCCGACTGTTCCTATCCTGTGTTGCTCCTCCCAGGTGCTGCAGTTGCAGTTGCTGCTGTGGGTTTTGCTCTGCTGAATGCGGGTCGTGCTGGGGTTCAAGCTGCTGCAGCAGGCGAGCAGAGGCTTCGTCCTGGTCCACAGTATCCTCTTCCCCTTGCTTGTCTATCTCCATGCATTCCTCGTTGCCTCCGGCTAGATTAGCAGAGAGCTCGCAAGCCTCTCCCTTCTTCTCGGGCGTCGTCTGCTGCTCTGGGTTGACAATAGACGAGATGCATGTGTCCTCCTCTGCGCCCACAAATGTCCCACAACTGCAAACCGCAACAGTATGAGGCACCTCAGGTAAGATAATGGAACTTTTACTGACGACGATGGCCACGCAGCAAGCACACATACGCTCACTGGGCGTTGCCCCGGTGTAGCTGGGAGAGCTAAGCTGTATGAAGGCCTGTTGCACGTGCTGCTGCATTTGCTGGATCCTTTAATGATGGGCGTGAAGACGAGATAGTCAGGGCATATAAGGCCAGTGACACTGTTGCGATGAAGGGGAAACTCACTTTGATTCCCGTCTATTCGCCGCTCTTCGCCATCTTCCGCCTCATCCCTGTGCACCGTACCGCATATAGAACCTACCCCAATGAGCATCTCCAACACATGCCACATAGCCCTAAGCCCTAGACGCCGAACTGTCCTCCTTGCGATCGCAGGCTGCGTTTGCTTCTCTCCATTTCTACCCATCTTATAACCTTAATTAAACTAAAATGTAAAACATAAACCTGCTTACTGAATGTCTGCTTCCGCCAGCTTCGCACTGTTGGCGCTCTGCAAGGCCGAAGATTCTTCTGCCTCTGCGAAGGCTTCGTGAGTTCCTGAAGCTTCATCTTGTTGACAGAGCTGGCCCCGCTGTAGTTGGGATGCGTCCTCACGTCCAGCATGGCCGTCCTCCCCTTTCGAAGACTCCGGGGAGGCGGCAGCAGCTCCATCTTCATTTCCATCAATCTCCTCTCGTTGTGGCCGCAGCAGCTGCACTTGTTGCAGCCAGCGCTCCACGGCTCCGTCGTCTTCAAGCGGGTTGTTTGGTAGCGAAAACGGGGACGGGGAGCTTCTGCTGTGTCCTTGTTGGGGTCCCGCGGTGCCGCTACTCCGACTCAATGACCCATCGTCATTTGTTGCTGCAGTGGCAGCATCAGCAGCGCCATCTCCTCCCTCCTCCATGCAACCGTCTGCCCCCTCGTCGTTGATATCTCCACCATCTTCTCCGTCTGCTTCCACTGTCTCCCGCTGCACGAGGCTGCATGCACAACATCATCAAATGCAACAAGCATGCGCTTTGAGAGCCAGATACTGTCCCCCCAACTGAAAGGTTACCATCCGGCCTTGTACCCCATTGCACATACTGCTACAATCAAATAGAAACAAAGTCTCCACAGGCAGCGAACTCCAACACCAGAAAGTCCAGTATAGCACATACTGTTACTCACCTGCCCTCTCCTTCTATGCCAAATGCCCTGTGGGCATTTTGCTTAGGCGGCTTTTGGCGCTGCTCAGCGGCGAACGTATGATCATCCCCCTCATCTAAAGGAGCCTCTATACCTGCAGCAGCAACAGCAGCAGCCACGACAAGCGCAGCAGTACCACACACACCTCATGCAATTAACCCTGATGCGCTCGGAAAGCGTATACAACGCTTCGGGCACGCTATCAACCATAAACATCACACCTTCCACACAGACAAACCGAAGCATGCGCAGGGAGGGACAACTAAACCCAGGAGGTCCGGCCGATTTTGCAGTGCCCCCAGCTGCTCTGAACAGCCTCCAAGCAGATAGCGCCTTATATGCAGTTTGACTACTGCGCTATGCATTTTTCAGCGGGTCAAGGGCGAGTGGTAACAAGGATGAAGGGGTTGGGGAAAGCAGCGGCCTCAGCCACCAACTGACAGAGGTGTATCAATTATTCCTCTGTCTCCCTCTCTGGCTGCCTCTCATCAAAGGGTACCCTCAAGGGCCAAAAGCCCCAAGGAGTCCCTGCAGAGGCCTTTTCGTATCATCTTCGGCAGCTGCCCCCCAACCCCAAGATCCCTGACAACTACCACCAAGCCCTAAACCTACACCTTCAGCGCTTACAAAAACCCTAAAATGCTCAGCAAATTCTCTTTGCTCCTCTCTAAGCCTGACTAGCCTAAACCCATAGTACACCGAACGTCAACACGTTCTGTCAACACCACGCCTCACTCTTCATCTAGGTTCAGTGGCACCTCAACTAGCAGCTTTGATAGTGAAACACACGGAACAGCACCAACAACAGCATCTCCGACAACAGCAGCAATAGCACCGGCTGCAGAAACAGTAGCAGTAAAGTAGGCAGCGTCCCCCTACCTTGCACCGAAGGGTCCTGGTTGGCATCCCTGTCACTGTCTTCTGCTTCCGTTTTCTTTTCTTCCCTTGCCTCCTGCGTTTCCATCTCTCCCCCCTCCTCTGGTGGTAGAGCCGACTCCTCCTCCTCCTGTGTGTCAGCAGCAGCGGAACTGTTGTCTGGTGCGTCCCCTGCTTCATCGGAGGCTTCATCCTGGTGCATTTGCTGCTCTTCATCCCGTACACACTGCTGCTGGGGGTCTGTTACATCCACATCCATGTTCTCTCCCTCCCCAGAATCTTGACCTGCGTTGTTGCTGCCGTCTGCTGCACCAGCAGCAGTAGTATTTTCCTGTTGCTCCTCTGCGGTGCCTGCCTCTTCTTGAGCTTCTGGCTCCTCAATGCCATCCTCCTCCTTTTCGTCTCCATCTAGAGCCACATCTTCCAGCTGCAGATCATCTCCCCATCTATCAGTGGGACCTTCTCCTGTAGCCGGCTGCTGCTGCTCTTGCTCCCCGTCACCCGCTTCTCCTGACGACGCGTTGCAAGTCTCCTCCGTTTCGCTCTCTACCTCCTCCATAGCGTCTCCCGTTTCCTCTTGCATCCCAGTGTCTCCCCCCCGCAACTTCTGCTGATACTGCGGAGCCTGCTGCTGCTCTAGCCCGTCACCTTCGGATGAAGGTGCCTGTAACAGAGACAGCGCAGGCCAACACACACAGCAGCGAGTTAAGCCATAGATGCCCCCCAGACCCACCACGAGGTAGCCGGACAACCTTGCAAAACGCAAGAGAGTACTAGTAACAGGACCCATGAAAACATACGCTGAAGCGTACCTCCAGCCTTCCCTGGTCATCGCCCTCGTCCTGCGGCCTGTCCAACTGCTGCTGCTGCTGCTGCTCGCCATTAGTGTCCTTGCTGGTCTGTGATGTGTCATTGCCGTCTTTTGTCCCCTCCATCTCAACATCTCCCTGAGGGACGCCTCCCTCCGTCTCGATTGTCTCCTTTTGTTTGTTTTCCCCTCCCTCGGTATTCTCACGCTCGTCGTCGGACCCTTCTTCTCCCGTCCATCTCTTGTTCTCCATTTGTCCCCCTTCTTGCAAGTCGACCTGCCCAGCACTGTTCTCCAGCTGCTGCTCCTCCTGCTGCTGCCTGTCGCCGCCATTCTGCGAAGGCGGCGGAGCCTCGGCGTCCCCCTCAAAATCCATCGACACCTCCAGGGCCTTGTCCTGAGGCACACAACATAATGCAATAGACTTTGAACTCTAAACGAGACCCCGAAACCGTAGGTTTGTTCCACCGTGTCTACAAGGTGGGATTTCGTTGAGCGTGAGGGTGGGCATATTTGCTAAGATTATTGATGGGAATTCGATTTAATTGTTGCCGTTAATGAACAAATTGTTCGATTAATTTGTCAAATTGTTAGTTAATAAAGGCTCAAGTGTACTGCAAGCTTTGGACATCAGTTTCCAGATGTATCGTTATCCGGTGTAGGTCTAGAGTCATACATGGGGAGGAATGCGACGAAGCGCGGGGTGTACAGTTCGTAGATGCTCACCTCCTCTTGAGTCTTGGGTTTGTCTGGAGGTTTCTGCTGGGGATCAGCCTGCTCATCTTTGAGGCCATCGAACTGCCATTCATCCTCCACTTGTTCCGAAGTATCTCTTGCACCTTCGCCTTCCCCCAACCCTGTGCCTGACACCCACTCATCCCTTTGCTTCTCCGGTCTTGCTGTCGCTGCTTCTTCTGCGGCCTCTTCGGCGCTGCTTTTTCGCCCCCACCCCAGCTGCAGCAGCACCAACGTCAGCTGCAGCAAACCCAGACTCAAACGGGCTGTTGCTTCAAGCGCGTCAAACGAAGCAAGAACCACTGCTGCTGCCCGCTGAAGCGCCTGCAGAAGGACCCGCCTTGTTTGCCTGCTTGTATCAGTCGCTGCTGTAAGTGAGTCAGCTCCTGAAGCGTCCGCTTGGAGCAAAGGTCGAGACAAGAAAGCTGGCGCTGCTCTCGTAAATTCCTCAAATGCACCAATGCAGTCCTTGAAGGGGAAGAGGCATTCAAGAGATGGCACAGGCAGGCTCGAGAACACTGGCTGCTGTTGCTCTGGCTGCTGTTCGTTCACGGTGTCCTCCTTCAGCCCACTAGTGAGTTGAAGAAGAAGGTCAGCTGATCGTTGTGGGCTGGCGCCCCGGCATGCCGCTAGGGACAACTTTAGTGACTCCGTTGCCTTCGCCAAGGCTGCGCTCCCTGTGGTAGAGCGGCTTTCCGTTTCCCCCTGAGCAGCCGTAGCAGCTGAAACAAGAGCAGCAAGTTGGGCATGCAGGGCCGCGCAGGCCTTTCGAATGCCTGCTTCCGCATGAGATGGCAGCAGGCCAAAGAGGTCTTTGCTTCCCATCTCATGTTCACCTTGCGTCTTCAGAATATCTAGCGCATCTTTGCATGCAGCCTCGATCGCTCTTAGCCATTGCAGCCGGACGCGCACGCAGGTGTGCCCCTTCCTTGCTGCTGGGGCTTCTGCCGCACTTGCACTGTACGCCGATAATCGTCGAGCCTCGGGGCTGCTCACAAGCAACTGCTGCACCGAATCAATCTGCTGCAGAGCCATGCGAAGCGTATCCCATGCACGTCGCAGCTGCCGTATGTCATGTCGCAGCCAGCGGTTCTCGTCTATACCCGCTCCCGTAGCCGCCGTAGCAGCTGCTGTTGTGACGCTGGTGGCTTTTGGCCACTCGTGCCATGCCGGTGGGACTGCAGAAGGACTGTTTGTCTGTCGCGCGGAGACCGCAAACGCTAGATTGAGTGCGTCGTTTTGCACGGTTGCCTCCTGCAGCGTCGGCAGAAGAGCCCCAGCCTGCTGCAGCGCTTGTTGCAGTGTGTCTGCTGCTCGCTGGAGTCCCTGCTGCAATGTTGACGGCACCGACACTGATGGAGACACCAGAGAGACCGCTGCTGCATCTACCAACACCTGGTAGTGCGCGGCCCCTTGCCAACAACGCTGCCGCTGCTGCAGCACGTGAAGCACCAGCGCTGCAGCGAATCCTAACAGCTGATCCCGCTGTGCCAACACATCCTTGTGGGGTGTGGAAAGCTGCTGACACTGCAGCAATGTCTGCAGCAGCAAGTACCACTGCTGCGCAGCGGAGGCCCACGTGTCACCCAGAAGGTCCCCAATGGGTGTCGGGTTCTCCACTAATGCTTCTGAAACTAGCCAACTAGGCAGGTCCCGTTTGTCCAGGTTCTTGCGAGACAAAAAGGCTGCTGCTCTGGCTGCAGTGTCGTGTTGATGCAGCGCTGCTGCCTCTTGCAGTGGGTGAGGCGCTTCTGGCGGCCCTGGCAGGCCGCTAGCGTCATTTAGAGTCGCAGCAAATAGCCTAGGGTCCCCGCCGCAAACCGACAGGCAGGGCAGCTGCAAGTCGTTACGTAGCATCGAGCGGAGCTCGGCAAACTTCCTTTGCATCTGCTGCCGCGTCACCTGCCTCTTCGGCTTTGTGCTGGTTGCTGCATTTGTTCCGTCCTGCTGTTTCTCCCCCTGCTGCTGCTCTTCGGCGGTTGCCGCAGATGCCGCCGCTGCCTCTTTGACAGCAGCAATGAAATCCTGGCACACAGCCTGCACCTCTCGGGCCACATCCGCAGCACTCGCCGAGTTGCCGCTATATGGATGCAGATCTTGTAAACAAGTGCAGTCGACATCTACCGTTTCCGGAAGGCCCAGAGACAAACTCAAGAACCTCCCCACAGCCTTCACCGCTGCTGTTGCTGCTGCGTCTGCAGAATCCGCCGTTGGGGAGCTTGCTGATTCTGCTGAAGATTGTACTGCCGGTGCTGCCGGTGATGTTGAAGCACGCGTGTTGCTATAGCGAGCACTGTCTGCAGCACTGTCAGCTGCTAACCGGGCAGCGGCCAAGGGAGACAGCAGTGGCAGAGAGAGGGTTGCGGCTACGAGCTGTTCATGAAGTCGTTGCTCCGCGGGTCCCACTGCTGCATGCATGAGCTGCAGCAGGAACCCGTCGAAGGTCTTCACGTGCTTTGCCAACTGCACGTGCGTCTTGTGCACAGACCTGCAAATAAACAAACACGTACACTGCATGCAATGAGCCAATGTACGCAAGGCGCAGGAGGTGCGAGGGTGCGAAACAGATTGCACGACACGAGAGAAGAGCACAGCTTTTGGCACCAAACAAAGCGCTAAGCAGGGTGTTAAGTGTAAGACATGGCATGCAGGGTGATACGCTCGAATGAGAGGCGGCACACTATAAGGGAGACAGAAAGCAACGCCGAGGAACCATGGCACACGGGGCATAAATTACAAGGCACAGAAACTGGAAGCAAGGCCCCAAGACATATGCCCATGGGGCTAGACGCAAGACATAATATGACAGACAGGCGGCTCCCCATTTCCATGTTGCCTGCTGCGTGTGTCTGCACATTGGAGGATACGCAGGCAGGAGCCAAGACACAACAAAACGCCCCAAAGTGACTTACTCTCGCATCGACGTTCGGCTGGACAGATCCCAGCGGGCCAAAGACGTCAACGAACTGACGGCCCTGTCCATCTCCTTGCGAGCTGCATGCAGCTGCTGTTGCACAGCTCGCAGCCAGCCAGCAGCAACAGCAAAACGCGCGACAGCCCCCATAACAACACACACCACCTCTGCCCTTGGCGTGTCAGACGTTTCTCCAGCATCCTCGCTTCCAGTCTCCAAATGACTCCCGGTCGGCGCTGCAGCAGCGGCAACATCAACTGCTGCTGCGCCATGCAAAAGCAGTCGCCTACAATAACTCGCCCCTTCAAGGCACCGCAGCCTCCCTTCAAACTGCCCTAAAGGAGACGTTCGCAGGAACTCGAGAAGCACATCAGTCACTGCTCTTGGGGAACGGTCAACGAGCTGAAGTAGCACAGCCCCCGCCAAGCTTTGAGACCCTGCTGATGGGTCACCTGCGGAGGGAGGTCCAGCAGCAGCTGCCACAGCTGCGGCTGCTGCGGCTGCAGCTGCTCCAGGAGGCTCCGCGGTGTCACTATCGTCTGGCAACAAACCCCACAAGAACGGTGCAAAGTGAAGACTCTGTTGCTGCATCCGCTGTTCCCTGAATTCTCTCAGAAACCGCCACTCCAGTAGCTGCCGTCGCCGCAGCAGCACTACCTGACGTTCAACTGCCCGCACTGCAGCATCGAATCGCTGAAGCAACCTTTCTGCTGCCTGCATTGCTGCTTGATCTTGCTGTTCCAGCGAAGCCCGCGTGCTGCTACCTTGAAGCATTTCATCCTTAGCCTCGTCCCCTGAATGGGAGGAGCCAGTGCCCTTTTCCGTCTCCTGCAGATGCGTCATTGCAGTTCGAGTGTGAGAAGCAGCAGCGGAGATGTGAAGCGCAATCAGGTGGGCCAGGTGGTGTCTGTCCATAGCATGCTGCCAGGCTGCTGCGCGGTCAAGAAGACTCTCGAGAGCAGCTAGCGCGTCAGCAGGAGATGTCGTGAAAAGGCAGAGAGAGGCAACTCTCTGTGTCAGCAGCAGCATGCTCTGAAGAACAGGATGGTCATCTACAACGGCAGCGAAAGAAGCAGCAGCCTCTTGAAATCTCTGCACGGGACCACTTAGAGGCTCAAGCAGCACAGGATTCCCCGGGGCATAGAAAGAAGTCGCCGCCCCTTTGGAGTTTCCAGACAGGGAGACGCTGCGGCAGAGCTGAGCGAAGCGCAGCTTCCGTGCACGTTCCCGTTGCTGCTGCAACCGTTCTTGCTGCAGCTGCTGCTCTGTGGAGCTATCTCCTGCATCCGCCTCAGCAGCCGCAGATTCGGCAGATTGCTGATGCTGTTCCATCTCCAATGCTGCATCGTCGTCTTGCATCAGCAGCTGCTTTAGCTGCTCCTCCTGTCGTTGTTGTTGCAGCGGGGAAACACCTATAAGACGTGAAGCTGTCTGCGTCAGCATAGCCTGCATATGCGGCATGCAATAGCAGTCTAACTCTGGCGCTGCCCGTACTTCTTCTTCTATTGTTCCCGCCGCTGCGCCTGCAGCTAAAACTCCTGCGTCGGATGATACTGCTAGTGAACCTCCAGTGTGTGCATTCAGCAGGATGCAGAAAGAGCCCTGGAGCGAAACGGGAAACATGCAGTACGGCAGCGCAAGCTAGCAGGATTCAGCAGCAGGCGTCCGACAATTGGTGTTCGTGATTTCCCAAATCGTGTATTCATGCAACCTGCCCGTCTGAACAAAAGTGCGCCTGACACATAGCTACACGTGATTTCTGCAGAGGTACGGCACTTACCGCCAGTGCTTCTCTATATGCTGCAGTTGTTTCCGCACCTCCTTCACTATCTCGCGCGGTGCTGTTGCTGCTGCTGCTGCTGGTACCGCTCCATGCGCATGCCACGTCTACGGCGCGGCCCCACAGGTGCAGCAGATCCTCCTCAGTAAGCCCTTCAAGCTGGTTTAGAGCGAGTTGTTGTTGTTTCTGCTGCTGCTGTTTATCTTCTTGTTGTTCGCTGTATGTGTTTTGATTAAACCATGCAGTGTACTGAGTGCGTTCTTGAGAACCTCCATCCTCCTGTTGCAGCAGTTCTCGCTGCTGCTGTTGGAGCGTCTGCGACCATTCCTCGCTGCACGGGAAGAGTTCCTCTGCCGCTTCTGCGTCACCTCTCCTTCTGCCAGCAGCTACTTCTGAGCGGTCCACAACAAGGCTTTCGAGGCGCTGCATCAAGGTAGCAGTCTCATCAGCTGCGATCTCGCGCTGCCTTCTCCACTCCAGGTGCTTCTGCGATACCTGGTGCAGCAGTCCCGCCAGGGCCAAACGCGCGCCAGCAAAGGGCGTTGCACAACGTAGAGTATTTGCAGCTGGCCCCCGGTTCTTCCGGTGCGCTGCAGCTGCTGTTGTCGCCTCTGCGCGGAGCCATAGTAACAGCCACTGCACTCGCTGCAACGGCTGCAACAGGTGTGTCCCCTCATTGATGCTCTCACAATGTAGAGCAGCAAATGGCAAGGCTGGGAATGACGCTGTCGCTTTAAGCACCAAAGACAGGGGAGACGGCTCCACCAGCTGCTGCCGCAGCCGCTCGTGGCGCTGCATAGTGTCTGTGGCTTCGGCAAGGTCAAGGAGGCCTTTGGCAACTGCCCAAAGGCCGGTTGTGGCTGTGCGTACGGCAGCCGCGAGAAGGAGAGGATGTGCAGCAACCAGGCGGCTGCTGCATGCAGCTGCTGCCTCAGCTGCTGTTTTCAAGGCAGCAGGCGAGGTAGTGTTCACCGCAGGTGCATCGCATGCTGTGCCCAGCAGCAGCGGCGCCAGCTCTGGCAAGAGAGACAAAAGTCTGCATAAAAAACACACAATATTTTTGAGGACCGTACATGGCCGACGGCGGTACGGGAACGACGGTGTTTAACGCTGACCACTCCATGAACGACGAACTGCAACGCAACTGAAAAACCCATAGATCGAATACTAGCCATCACGAGGTACTGAACTGTTTCTCCCGTTCCAAGGTGTGCATCTGCTACTGTTGCTGTACTGCAACCAAAGTGTGCAAGGCGAAGAGTCGAGAAGACGACGGACTTTCGTGTCTCCATGGTGCTGCAGCAAAACTCATTAAGGCTCTCCAGCCAAGCAGCCAGCGCTGCCTCAGGCGAAGAAGTGACCACCGAGCCTCGCTCCATAAGTTGCAGTACATGCAGCTGCGCAGCAGTTGGTGCCTCTCCCTCATCCGTCCCTGCTCCCTCTGCTTGTGGCTCTTCTGCTGCAAACTCATCGGCCACTGCTGTCTCCATGACGCCAGCAGGCACCAAGCGTAGGGCCAAGTCTGACGGGATGGCTGCTGCTCGCAACGGGAGAAGGTTCTTCAGGTGCTGCAGCAGACAGTCAGCTTTGCTTGTCTGCTGCAGCAGCTGCTGCAGCGCAGCTGCATGAGCTTCACTTTCAGCCGCTAGCGCTACAGAAGCTGACGTGCGCCCGCCAATCCCGGATATCAGATCCTGCTGCACACCGTCGCAGCCATCCAGAGCGGCGGCACGCAACAGCAGTGCCTGTCTCTGCAGCAGCCAGCACCAGCACACACAGGAACAGGCATCGTCGCTCCACAACGCCGCCCTTCTTCATACACGCTCACAGGGAGCCTACCACAGCCAAAACAATCAAGACGACAATGTCACACCACCCTAACCCACCTCGGTTGCGTACGCCTTGGACTTCATCTGCACAACGTGGCGCCAAGCTGATACCTCCCGCTTCTGCTGCAGCTCTGCTGCAGCCGCTGCTGCTGCGCTCAAGACCGCCCATCTTCCCAGCAACATCAGCAGCAGCGAACGCTGCCGCTTGCCAGTGAAACCAAACAGCAACTCACCAGGCTCTTCTGCGTCTGCACACTTCTCCAGGAGTCGCTGCAGCAGCACTAAAGACGCAACAGCAGTGCGGCCAGCATCCAAATTGCGGCTGCCTGCAGGTGGTCCTGCTTCGGCATTCCCAGGAGGAGCAGCAGGAGCTGTTTCAGCTGCACTTAATGCCCCCTGCAAACCGCGCGCGACGGCGCGCAGCTCTTCAGCCGCTGCCTGCGCCGCTGCTCTTGCACTATCTTCTGCTGCACATGCAGCAGCAACTCCACCGCCGAGGAATCCCGCAAGGCCAACCCATGCGTTTCTGAATGCACTGCGGGCAGCAGCGGCTGCTGAGGGCGTCACAGGGTCTTCCTGTACAGCTTGCTCATTCTCCTTATCGATCTTGGTCCCGGAGTCCCCTTCCCTCTGTGGCCCACAGAAAGACCAAAGGGCGGCAGCAAAACCTAGGACGGCTGCCCATTCTGCAGCAGTAGTAGCCGCTGCTGCCTCTGTTCCTACGCAAGCTGTTGCTGCAGCCGCAGGGGTCTTCATAAGTGCATCTGTGTCTTCCGCAGAAATACCCATCTTCACAAGCCTGCATGCTCGTCTTCTGTCTTTGTCTAGGCTTTGCAGGTGCCGCTTAAGCCGCTGCAGCACGATGAAGCATGCAGAAGCTGAAGAGACAGTGGCGTGCTGCTGCACCTCAGCGACAATTCGGGCGATGCACGTACAGCTGCTGCCGTTCAGTATCTCCTGTATGTGGATCGGCCGTTCCATTCGTTGCGCTGTACCAGATGTTGTTGCCGCTGCAGCCGCTGCTGCGCCGCGAAGCCCTCCGGCTGTCTCTGCAAGATGGGCCAAAGCCCGCCGTGTCAGCACGGCAGCAGCGCGCTGCTGGCGTTTTCCCGCCGTTGCCGCTACCCCTCCTGCTTCTTCTGCATCTTTCCCGGATCCGCATGCGTCTTGCAGCAGCTGCTGCTGGTGCAGCGCTTCCTTAAGCCCCAAGGCATCGTTGCACCGTACATCCAGCTCCGTCCGCCACATCAAAGACAAAACCTCAATTGCAGCACACGTTGCAAGCCTAACGAGTTCGTTCGATTTCGGTCGTTGCCATTGCTGCATGTGCTGATGCTGCTTCTGTTGCTGCCGCCACAGAGCGGACGTCAAAACTGCAGCAGCGTCCAGCAGGGCAGGAGGAACGGGTATGGGCTTGGCAGCTGCACTGCCCGCGCTTGAAAGATCTTCAGAGGATACCCGAGATATAGCAGCTGGGGGGAGAATGAAAACCGGCAGCAGTTCTTGCTGCTGGTGCAGCTGCGTTTGCGCAGCCTCTTCCAATGCAACGGATAGAACAGTAGTAGCCTTGTATGGATCGCCAGAATCTTCGCCGTCCCAAGTAGCAGTAGCAGGTCTTCGTTCCCCCGGTTGATGCGTCTGCAACCATAGACTCACCAGAAGCAATTCGGCTGCGTGCTGCAGCCCCAACTGCACTGCAGCTGCTGCTGCCAGCTGCGCCTGTAAATGGCCAACGGAGACAACTGCGCTGCTACTGAGTGACACCCAACGTTGCTGTCTGCTGTCGATGAGCCCCTCCGCAACAGCTGCTGCTCGTAGTGCTTCTGCCCTATAGAGTCCCCCGCTAAGAGGAGAGGGTGCGGCGGCAGCAGAAGCTGATACTGTTCGCTTTAGCTGGTAGGAGGGAAGCAACGCCTCGCTGACTTGGGCCTCGAGGCTCTCTGCTGCCCCTTGTCGGCCCTCAGCCCTTAGCAAGCAGCTGCTAAGCAACAACGCATGCAGTGCCGATGCGTGAAGCAGCAGCGGTTTACTTTGAAGCTGCTGCTGCTGACCCTGCATCTCACGCTGCTGCTGAGAAGGTTCTATACTGTCATGGCCAAGTGTGGGGCACCTTGCGTTCAGCAGTAGAGCGAACGCGCGTTGTAGACACGGAGCTGTACAAGCAAAACGTCGAGAGAATGAAGCGATTCGCCACTCCTCACTTGGGGGGGCTGCCGCACCCACTGCTGCTGAACCTGCGGTTTCTGCTGTGGCGGCAGCCTTCATTTCACTCCCTGAAGTACCGTTGAGGACTGCCGCATGCAGCAGTTCTCGAAGCAGCCAGCCCCGCACTGTCTGTGCCTCGTGTTGGCCCAACTGAAGTGGCAGCAAACACTTCCAGTTGCTGCATGACAATGCATCCACGTCCTCAACAATACTAGCAGCACCACCAACGCCACCGTTCCCCCGTAATGGCTGCTGAATGCCGTGCTGCTGGTGCGTCGCCTCCACGGAGGGCACCAGGTCTTCTCCTGTTTCATTCACGCCTGAACCTGTCGCACCAAGCCCTGTATGGGCCAGCAATGCACGCAGGCACTCAAGTGGCGGTAGGAGCTCAGCAGCGACAAACTCTGGTGCCGGTGCCATGGGTGCGAAAGCTGATTCCACATGCAAGTCCGCGGAGCGATTCAAGTCGCTGATTGCTGAATCAGATGTGCCTACTGCTGCAGCAAAGTCCTGGAGGCTCTCAACAAATACTTTTAACAACAATTCTAGTTCACCTCCATGCCACTCCAAGGCTATCCGCATTCTCTCTTGAAGTCCGAGGGGCTGCTGATGTTTGTTGTCTCTCCTGCTGCTATTTTCCTTGTCTTCTGAGACGACGTTACCGCATATACAACATACAGGAAGCGCGAGCATCTGCAGCAAATCAGCCCACGCACTGAAGCAACGGGCCAGGTGCCTGCACTGCTGAGTAAGGCCTCCAGCCAAGCTCTCAGCAGCAGAAGGAAACAGCCCATCTGCTTCCTGCACGAGCATGCGGAGGGTGCCGTCAGCTGCAAGCGCAGCAGAGGTGGATAGATGGCAGAGGCCTTGATATAGGCGCTGCATCATCTCCCCAACCGAAGTCTCTCTCTCTCCACTCCGTTGCTGTATCAGCTTCTGCTGCATCAACTCCTGCTGGAGCAGATCCTCCTGCTCTCGCCGCTGCCTGTTGCCGTGCCACGCGCATGCAAACACGAGACACCAGAACTCCCGGCTCTCGAGGTTGCAGCACGGGCATTTCCTGGAAAGTGCTCTACTGCTATTCTGCTTCTCCAGCAGCAGCAACCGCTGAGGCATCAATATGGCTGCGCATTCTACTCGACGCAAATGGACTAGCTCGCGCAACAGTAGCAACTTGTGCATCTCCCGCTGCTGCTGCTCCGGTGAAGGCGAGCGCCTACTCTCCAAGCTTACGCCTCGCACCCACAGGGGGGAGGATGTCCGTAATAGGCGAGCTGCTGCGTAGAGGAGGGTCAGGTCGTTAGGTGGTGCACCCTGAGCATGTGCTGCTGCTGCTGCTGCTGCACCGGGAGACAGAAGAAAAGGCCCCTGGCCGGTCTCCTGTAGGGCATTACATGCGGCAGCAAGATAGTACACCGCTGGTTCCCCATGCCGCTGATGCAGGAGCTGATTCTGTCGCATGGATTCTTTCTGCAGTTGCTGCAGCACTCTAAGGCGAGCAAAAAAGTCCATTCCATCTGCTGCACTCCACATAAACAGGCGCACTGCTCCAGCGAGCAACGGCAGCGGTGTACCCGCGCCTTCAACACAAGCAGTAATAACGCTTCCTAGAAATGAGGTCTCACACGCAACGGATCTAGCCATCAGCCCCTCGCGTCTGCTACTGCTGCTGCTGTGTTCCCCGTGCAGCACTACGTGCCTTTCGACTGCCCCACGAAGGATAGCCCAATCGGCCTCTTGGTGCAAGTGGTCACCGCTGCCTTCAAAACTGCTACTCCCCTCCCGCAATTTGGAGGCAGAAGAGCAACAGAAGCTGGCTGCCAACAGCTGCAGCAACAGCATGCGCCATATGGCTGATGAGTCGAGTGCTGCGGTGTATTGCCACAAAAAGCACTGAAAGAGTGTTTCCACGCATACACTGCTATCTCGATCCCCACCGGCTATCGGTGTTGTCGCACTCTCTTGTTGTGGTGTTCCTCTTGTAGCTACTGATGAACTTTCCTTGTTTGAACCAGCCACATATCGAGCAGCTGCATATGCGCTGCCCCAACCTTGTAGGCACCTCCAGCTTGCTGCCGCTGCTGCAGCTAGTTCTTTGCTGCCCCTTCCAGCCACTCTGTGTGCTATCGCCTGCAGGCCCGTAAGGCCAGAAAAAACCGCTTCTTTCCCCATGTCAGCTTGGACTTCTCGGAGTCCTGCAACAACTAAGTCCAGGCTGCCGTCTTGCTGCGTTTCTTCCTTTTGGTGCTGCTGTGCTTGCTTCTGCACATACTGCTGCTCGCCCACATCGGAAAGAGACGACTGAACTGCATGCGCAAACTGACATAACGCAGACTCGTCCCCAAGCAACTGCAGCAACAGCTGCACTGCTGCGTGTTGCAAAGACATGACTTCTGCTGCTGCCAGCGCAAGATCCCTGTCTCCCTCCAGTAGCAAGCGGTAGCTATCTTGCAGCAAAAGGGGACAAAGCCGTGCGAAGCGTCTGCTGCTGCTGCTGCTGCAGTGAGCCTTGCTGCAACAGAAGCTGATGAAAACCCCTATGATGCGAAGCGTACTCCTTGCTGCTGCTGCTACACTAGGCTCTGTCTTATCTCCCTGTAGCTTTCCCTGTAGTTCTGCTTCTGCCGTCAGTAAGGACGAAAACCAGCGGGACAGCAGCGGGCGCAGTGCAGTGTCTCCTTCAGTGTCCGCAACAGCAGAGACCCCAACGTCCCTCAGGAGAGCCGCCAGTGTTCGTAACAGCCTCTCCGTCAAACCTTCCAGCAATAACGGCTGCTGTGATACTGCTGTTGATGCCGTTGTCGTCGGTCTGGGGTTTGCCTTTACGTCTAGAGAGCATCCGTCTGTCGTGCGGGTAGACGCTGCTTGTGGTACACATCCTATGGATGTTTCTGCTGCTAGTCCTGTCGCTGCAGCTGTGCCTGGCGGGCGTACATACACCTCGCAGCATCGGTTCCGTAGAGCTGCCGAGAGCCTGCTGGAGCCCCCGGCCTCAGCTGTGAAGAGGATCCGGAAGTTGGGGTGTCGTTTCACCTTCCTCGGGGCCCCCCCTTCGGTTAAATGCAAGCACCCGCCTTCTTCTAACAACGCATTGAGCCTGTCTAGAACAGAGGCGCTGCATAGATGTGCACTGCGCAGCAGCAACCAATGCCCACGTTTCACGGCATCTACAAGTGCACTGTCTGCCCACTCAAAACGTGCGGCGTCCTGTTCGGCCCCTGCTGCTCGTATTGCAGCACTCCCGACGGGCTGCAGGCCTCCCAAGATGCATCCTTGCTGCAGCAACCGTGCAGCTCTCTGGCTGCGGTGCTGCAGCACAGAGCGCACCGCCTCTCCCGCTGCCGCTTCGTTGCCACTAAGGGAAGCACGCCAAGAGGTAGCAGCCGCTTCGCAGCCCTCAAGCAATGTGGCCGTTGTTGCAGCAAGATGCTGCAGTAGCATCCTCACCTGCAACTCAGGCTCCACATCCTTCACGTTACCTGGAGCAGAGGTAGCGCCCAAGTCCGCAGCCTCTACCAACTGTTGGCGAGCTGTTCCAACAGCAGCTTGCAAGCCTTTCAGGCGCTTCAGCTCGTACTCCAGATGAGGTTGGTGCTGGTATTGTGGTACGTGCTGCTCCAGTAGACAGTCTGCGACTTGCTGGGCTGCAGCCGCTGCCTGCAGAATCCTCTGTCTGGGCTGGATTTGTCTGTAGACGCCGAGCAGGTCTGAAGTGTCTACGGAAGGTCCCAGCTGCACCTCGCACACGGTCGCGCCGCATGCAGCCGCCAACCACCTCACAATGCTGCTCTTTCCTGCAGCCGCAGCAACAGCGAAAACGAGGACAGCAGAGATGAGACCAAAATAGATGTATTATCCACCACTAACTGCTCACCAAAATGGCAGCTCCGCTGCACCTAAACATAAGTGTGTAGGTAGGGGCCAAGAATGATGACAGGCAATAAAGTGCGACATAAGAGAATGATAAGCAATAACACAGGGAGATCAGCACACGGAGAAGGATACAAGCAAGGCCAAGGATAAGCTGGAGATGAGGGGCAAGTGAGCTCACCTGCGCCTCTCTCGCCAGTCAGCAACACAGGGAAGCCTGCTGCTAGAGCAGCAGCAACAGCAGAAACGCAAAGTCTCTGGGAATGCAAAAGCAACCCACAGAGCTTCCCGTACTGCTCCTCCTGTTGTGCTGCCTGGATTCGCTCGTCCTGCTCCCTCACTTTTACTGGCGCTTCTTCCTGAAGGGCCAGCGTCATGTCTCCAAAGGAGACATGCGTGTCCGTCACAATTAGGTCCAGGGGCTGTCTCCCCTCCAATGTATCGGCAAACCTCATCGACGACAGCAGCGTCTGTGGTTGCACTGCATGCAACACAGCGGCAGGCGCCACCCCGGGGTGCAGTAGCTCACGAAAGACAAGTTCCACTGTCTCGTGGTCCTCCTGTTGGCTGTTTTGCTGTATATCATGCGCCTGCTGCTGCTGCATCTGATATAGATTCGGAGGAAAACAGAGAGAAGCTAAGTGAGCTGCTGCCCTCAGGTCTTCTGTGCTTCGCAGACGTGACAAAAGGGCCACGGTGACAGCCCCCCGTGGGTCGCTAATAGGCAACTGAAAACACACGATACACCAGCAAGAGAGAAACCCGTTACACACGCCTTTCCCTCCGTTAACGTTCTACAGAAGCAGCACCAACCAACTGCAGCGACAGCAACAGCACTCGACGCTGCAGAGGCCACACGCGGCAAAACCACCAGCTGGACTAGCAACAACAGCGGCAACAGCAAGAACGGTTGCAGCAAAACGTTTTACCCTCTGTGCGTATAGTCGAATAATCCGCATTGCATCCCTCAGGTTGTAGACGGAGTCCGTAAGACCTTTAAACGGTCTCTCTATCCCCAATTTCCCCAGCAGTCGCACGCAGCGTACAACGCATGCACTCAACAAAAGCTGCTGCTGCTCTCTCTGCTGGGATCCTATCTGCGATTTTACCTGAATAGAACCCTCCAATGCCGCAGTCCCCCCTTCGCCTGCTTGTTGCTCCTGCTGCTCCTGCTGCTCCTGCCGCACCAGCTGCTGCTCCCGCCGCTGCTCGAGGCAGGTTAGCAGTTTGTGTGCAATTGCAACCATGTCTGCTTCAAGCATCTCATCGACACGGACCCTGCAGAATCTGTTCAAAAGGGACTGCGGCAAGCCTTTCCGCCCCTCGACAGCTTTGCTGCTGGCGGGGCTATCGCAACTGTCGCCCTTCACTTTCGAGGCAGAGCCGTATGCAAGACGCGTCGCATTCAGATCAGCAGGAAGCCCTACTCGATGCAAAAGGGCTTCTAATCCGGCATCTGTGAGCCCCCCATCGTCGTCTCCGCCGTGGCCTGAAACACCGCCAACGGTAGCAGCTGCTGCTGTTGTGGCGTGGGGGTTCTGCGTCGCGAAGAGGACAAAGCCGGGCGGCGCGTACACTGCTGCATCCTTCTTTCCTGGTGACGCTGATGAGGACAGGGGCTTGCCGTTACGTGTATCTGTCTTGCTCGCGGCAGGATCTTCAAGGGTGGGGAGATATACGCAGCGGCGGTGGTCTAAAAGAGGATTGAGACCCTCGAGAGTTTGCTGCGGCGCTAAATTTAGCTCGTCCAGCAACACCCAATGTCCCGCCCTCAAACTGCGTGTCAAAATCCCGTCCGTCCACCTAAACGAAGAAGAAAAAAGGCGAGAATGCACCAGACGTGTGCCGATGCATGCATCTATGAAAGCAGGCCAGCAGCCAACCTGCCAAAATGCGCAGGCAAGGGTGTAAGGTGTACCGCGCACACAGGGCACCAAACAAATATCACGGCGAGCGCAACGAGTGTGTACAATTCCATGCAAAGCCGCATGCGCAAGATGCATGCAACGCTGGATGCAACATGTATGTGAACGCGCATGCACAACCATCTGCCGGTGCTTTCAGTGCCCTCTTTACATACACCGACATGCCACAGAGCAAGAAAATCACCAAAACCCATTAGTATTCGCCCCTACAATATTCGCTCCTACATCGGATGCCCATTCACCTTCCCACCAGCCATGTGTATGTACATGAGGTGTGCCTACATCTCGAGCCACTCACACGAAAGGAGGTCTCTTTGTTTCCACAGTGGGTGGCTGTGCGTCTCCCCGAGGTCCGGCTGTGGCTGCTTCTGGCTGCTGCACCTGCACGCCAGTGTTACAGGAGGCGGATGCGTCATTGTCGTCGCCTTCGAGATCTGTTGCAGGTACAACAGCCCCCAGCAGATCAGCCAACTCTGTGTCTTGGCTGAGATTGATGCGCACCAGCTGTCGCCCGCATAATCTAGCTAGGAGTCCCACAACGAAAGTCTTTCCAGCCCCAGGCGGCCCCTCGAGGAGCACCGCATGCCTTCCTGAGTTGCTCCCCAGAGCTCTCCCAGGCTGGTGCGGCTGCTGTTGGAGTAGCAGCAAACAACGCAGCAGCCTACCCAAAGACCTCCGCACTGACGGTGACTGGATGACCTGCGGAAGCTCGTCTCCCACCTCATTCACTGGCCCCTGCCCCCTTCTCTGCAGCAGCTGCTGCGGCTCGAGCTGCTGCTGCTGCTGCACGTTTGTACTTTCAAGCTTACTACCGGATGTCTGCCTGAATGCAGCCAGGCTGAAAGGTCCCACCTGCAGTTTCTCTTCCAAGTTGACTCTCCCAACGATGTCCTTACCACCAAAGGCCGCAGACACCCAAGCAAAGCCGTCCTCCTCAAAGCCAGCGCATGTCTCAATCCAGCAGGGGCCTGCGGCCTGTTGCTGCTGCCCCGACTGTTGTTTCGCGTGGCCAGGGTTTCTGTACAAGCCTAAGTCTCGGTACAGAGCGCATGCGTGTGTCTTGAGGAGCAGCAAAATCCCCATATGCGGCCGTCGCGCTGGATGCGAAGCTGCCTCTGCAACCTGCTGCTGCAGATTCTGCTGCAGCCGCTCCAGCCGCTTTTTAAGTTCCTCTTGCGCATTCCGTTGGGGAGCATGCAGTGCTGTAAGCTTGACAAGAGTTTCTTCGGCCTCTAGGTAACCTTGTGCGAGAGAGTGCAACTGCTCCTGTGGAAGTTGCATCTCCGCTCCCACACCAAGACCATCCAGGAGCAGCAAACAGCCGCCATGCATCAAGCCCTGCACAGCCCACCGAGCTTTTGCTGCTGCTGTTTCTGCTGCTTTGGGGGGTGGGCTTGCATCCAGCTGTGAAGCCACAAAACGGTGAATAAAACAAATCCAGCACAAGGCGTCTCGGATAGAAAGCGGCTGCTTAATGTGCTGCCGCACCCACCTAAGCAGCAGCACCAGTCGAATGGCAAGACAGCTGAGGGGCAGGTCGTGCTGCGATCCGTCTGGCTGCTGTTCCTGCAACTGCTGCAGCTGCTGCAGCTCGTGCTTCATCAGCGCGTTGTTCTCCGACTGCGCATCCTCTACATCGAGCGTCTCTACTGCGTGTGGCAGCTGCAGTCCGCGAAGACAGGTGTGCTCCAGCCGTTGCAGTAGCAGCAGCACGGCGTCTGGGGCTTCGAAGCTAAATGCCGGTACAAACACCTCAGTTAGTCTGTTTCTTAGCGCTGGTGAAAGCTCACGTTTGCCGTAGTCTCCACCAGGATTCATCGTGGCAATGAAACGAAAGCCTGGTGCTGCGTAGACCTCCACACCTGCTGTCGCTGCAGTAGCTGCCCCTTTTGCTGCTGCTGCTGCGGTGGTGGCGGTGGCGCTGCCATCCGCAGCAGCAGCGGCGATCGCTCCTGATGCTGCACCTTGTTCAGTGAGGAGGATATGCCTCCCGTCTTCTAGAAGCGAATTAAGACGCTCTAATACAGCATCTTGACCCAAAGAGGCCTCGTCCAGCAAAAAGACAGCTCCCGTCTTCATCGCCTTAACCAGTGGACCGTCTCTCCAGCAAAAGAGACTGTGTGTCCTCTTGCATGCCTCTCGCCAAGCAGTGCAGCGCTGTGACAGCTTGTCCATATAGACCTTTACAAAGGCTGCTGCACGGTTGGTTGCATCACGCAGTGCAACAGCAAGAGTAGAAGCAGTAGCATGTTCTGATACACTCGAAGCCACAACGTCCTCAGCAGACGATACAGCGGCTGCAGCGGCAGCCACCGCAGTCGCAAGATCATCCGTTGTTGCCTCTGCTGTGTCCCCTTTTGCGTCTTTTGTTTCGTCACCACATTCCTTGGTTCCAGCAGCATGTGGTGCGGATGCTTTATCCTCTCCATCCTGCCGAAGACTTGGTGTGGCTGCACCTACTGCGTCTGGGTTGACGGATGCAGTCCTGGGTCTCTTCTTTGCTGCAGCATCAGTTCCCTGGGCAAATGTAGCATCTGCTGTCTCCCTTTCTGCCCTGTTGCGGGTTCCCTTTCGCCGTTTCTTCCGTCCCGAACTGCCCTCCTGCTGCTGAAACTGCCGTTGAGGCTGCTGCTCTTGTTGCTCCCGCTGCTTCTGTTTGTGGCATTGCCGCCCCACACCTGCACCGAAATCAGCACCAACGAGCCTTGCTGCCTCCCGGTCACCATTTTGAAGCACATCAGGCTCCCACGACCGTCCCTGCTTCTCCTCCTCTTCCTTGCCATGCCGTTGCAGCTGCAGGAGGAGCTGTTGGTGTTTGCTCTGTTCGCGCTGCAGTATTCGCCTCACTGCTTCAACCTGTTGGTTGAGGTGGGCCTCCTTTTGTGCGGCTGCTGCTGTAGCTGCATCTGTCTCCTGCTGGAGCTGCTGCTGCGCTTGTCTAGCTGCCTTGCTAATGGCTCTGCAAAATAGGTTGGTGTCCTCGTCGGCCATCTCTAACCCTCCCCTGTCCCTGTGCGCTCGGAGACAAATAACAACGTCTGCTGCTGCTGCCTGTAACAGCTCATAAAACCGCAAGAGCAAGCAACTGGCACTCATGGCGTCCTCCTCACCCCCGTCTTCCTTTGCTGCGGCTGTCGGAGGTGGTCTTTTTGCTGTCGCTGCTGCTGCTGCAGAAGACTCCCTCAGCTGCCGGTAATTCGGCAGCAATTCCTCTGGAGGAGGTGGGTGCTCGAGCATCTGCATAATCTGCTGCTGGAGCGCAGCAGCGGTCTCCTGCTGCTGAAGCAGCTCCCCTTGATGTACAGGGCTCATACTGCCGAGGAGCTCAGAGGCCTCCATCTGCAAGTGGCAATTGTACACATACATTCCGTTAGGAGATAGGCGCCGTAATAGGCCGCTTTCCAGCGCTGTAAGGCCCTCTTCCCCCTGTAGCTCCTCCTGCTGCTGCAGCGTCCACGCAACCAACTCGCATACGGCAGTCTTGCCTGCACCCGTATCCCCAACAAGCAGAAGGTTTTCCCCTGCCACTAATGCCCGCAATGTCAAGGCTAAAAGCCTGAGAGAGGCACTATTGAAGGAGAATGGAAGGAAGGCTGGGAGCTCAGGTGCAGCAGCAGCAGCCGCTGCTGCTGCTGCTGCTGCCGCCGCCGCTGTTGCCTCGGCCTCCCTCTGCGCATCCTCCGGGGCTTCGCTGAGAGCAGCTGCTCGTGCGGCGGCTGCAGCTGCTGCTGCTGCTGCGTCTCTTGCAACTTGCTGCTGCTGCAAGCAACGCTCAACCTTTCTGTGAAGCAATCCCCGAAATGCCACTATATAGGGGTCCGCAGCAAAATCGACCTGCAGGTGCTTAGGCTTTCCTGCAGTTGACCCCAAACAGTGACGCTCTAAGGACGAACGGACAACTGTCCGATCCTCCTCCGTACGAAGCCTCTCCCCCACCAGCAGCCAACCCTCTAAGGCCACTTCCTCAAAAGACATCGGCGCATATTCCTGCACCTGCTCTTGTTGCGTCTGCTGCTGCTTTTGCTGCTGCGGCTGCATGTGCTGAAACGGGGAGTTGCCAACCCTGCGGCCCCACCTGATGAGGTCGCGGATTGTCATGAAGCCATGCGCACCAAAGAAGACCTGCACCAGATGGACCAGCAGCAATATCAGCGGCAGTGATGGGCTGTGTTGTGTCCCTTCCCTCCCATATCTGCCTCCTTGGTGCTGCTGTCAGCGGCACTGTTCGTTGCAAGCACACAAAGTAAAACCTCAAAACGGCAGAATGGAGACAATGAAAAAAACCACAAGATAATGAAAGCCCAGCGAACTTACAGAGCTGTTGGCGCGGCGTTGCTGTAGGTCCGTGTACACCCGAAGCATGGGCTCAACTCTAGAAAGGGGCAGGCTGCAGCGCGTAAGGAGGATTTGCCTGAGATCTTCCGTTGCAAACTGAGTCACTTGCAGCTGCAGGAAGCGGTTTGCTAGTGCCCTGCTGAGTACCTTACGGCCTCCATACACCCCAATGCCTGCAGGGTTTTGCGTCCCGAACAACTGGAAATCCTTATGAGCTCTCACCACCTCCCCCGTCGCAGGCAATATCAGCTCGCGGTTGCTGTCCAGCAAACGATTGAGCGCTGCACGGACCACAGCAGCAGCAGCAACGGCATACTAGCAGCAAACACGGCCAAGGTGCCACCTTCCCAGCAGCCTATTCGCCTCCCTCTACCGTTACCCTCCCTCCATGCATTCCTCCTTAAACTTCTAGAGATCAAACTGCTGCAACACCGGGCCGTTAGCAGGAGCCGTGTACCAGAAAGAGCAGTAGAAGCAGGCCAACAGCCAGCACCAGCGGCAGCAGAGATGCGTTGCTTACCTTCTAGGACATCGGATGGGGCGAGGTTGAGCTCATCTATCAGGACCCACCAGCCGTGGCGGACTGCAAGGGTTAAAGGCCCCTCAGCAAAAACAAGACGGCCCTCCGCATCCGGCGCGTAACTACCCACATAGTCTTGAATGTCAGTGTTCTCATGGTTGTTGATTCGAATGCATTTGTGTCCTGTTGCGGCGGCCAAAAACGAAACCATTGATGTCTTGCCGCACGACGTCGGGCCCTCCAGCAGCAAAGCGCACCGGCTGCCACTCAGCAACCGCAGCAAACGGCGAACGTACACCTCGGAATTCGGCGTCAACACAAACCTCCTCTTCAATGCCTCCACGTCGATTGGCTCACCCCCTACGAAACGTAACAGCGACACCCAAAGCCCGCTACACAAACATGCACCCCCGCTGTCCCCTGGCCGCCTGTGTGCCCTGCTATACACTTCATTACATGGACGCCTAATTCTACAGCCCCCTCTATAGTACATAACATGGACAATCTACAAGTTCACCCGTACACAGACTCGTACCACTACAAATGTCTCTATATACACATCAGAGTGGAAGGGGAGCATGCGCTGGTAGTGCGGCCTCCAGACCTTTTCGGATGATAAACCCCTCTATTGCCACGTGGGCATCTTCGCCTGGTGCTGCAGGCAGCACTTGTAGCTGCAGTTGTTGCTGCTGCTGCTGGCCAGGGCGAGTATCTGAAGGTGACTTGGCAAGAGAGCGTGACACTCCTTCCCCAGGCAAGACAGGTTTAAATGCTTTTGCTAATACCCTCTCAACTCTAGCTGCGCTGAGAGGGCTAAGTGAGGAACTGAACAAGGCGAGAAAACCGTCTTTCAAGGCAGGGCGGAGCTGCAGAGGTCGCGTAGGCCGCCGGACCACAGCTGCTGCATGCAATAAGGAGCGGGACAACGTCCGCAGGGAATAACATGGGGTCTTGTTGTTTCCGTCTAGGAGCTGACCCGCTTCCGCAAGGCACTTGAGGTGAATGTACACCTCAGCCACCAGTCTAGAAGGAGGATCCGCACTCAATGGCCTCAAGTGGGCATCTACAACTGTAATGATATCCTCGAGGTCTTCTGTCTCATCAACATACAGTTCTGTGAAACGTTGCCGGACTTCCGCAGGGAGCTCCCGCTTCCCCACACCCGCAGACATATCGGGGGACACGTCTTTCGCTCGCTGCCCCTGCTCCTGCTGCTGCAGTGTTTCGTCTGTGTTGTCCAACTCCTCTTCGTCCTCAAACGACAGTTTATGCTCCGCCAGTCTCAGCGGTGGCGCGAGGATCGGAGGGTTCATGCATGCAAAGACGCGAAAATCCGGGTGTCTGTAAACATGACGGGGCTTGCCCCCCTCAAGCAGTAGCAGCGGTTCCTGAGGCTCCTCCAGCAGCCCCAGAAGCCGCTGAAGCAGATCAGGAGGCGCCAAGTTTATTTCATCAAGCAGCAGCCACTTCCCCGTCCTTACAGCCTCGACCAGGGGTCCCTCGGTGAACACAAAGTGCAACTGACTCCGCCGCGTAAGCCCAGAAGCTGCAGCACCTCCTGCTGCTGCAGCTTTTGTGGTTGCCTCTGGCGCTGTTTCAGCCACAGGCAAGAATTCTCGCAAGCCACAGGCGTCAACAATGGATTCGAACTTCCGCGGTGTCGAGGCACTGCAGTCACTGAGTGCAGGGTCTTGTAAGAGGGCAGTAAGAGAGGTCTCCAACTCCGTGCATCGTGCTAACAACTCTCCTACTGTCCCGCGTTGTCGTAGTTCTTGCTCTTGCTGCTGTTGCTGCGGGGTGGGGCTGACCACTGGCAGTATGTTGCCACACTGTCTCAGGAGCTGCAGCAGAGCATTATTCGCTGCTGCTGCAAGTCTAAGCAGGGCGACATACGCCTCTCTCTGGAGCAAACGCGAGCCAACGCGCCGCACCTGCCTCATCATCTGCCTCATGGAATCTATACGGCTGCAGTCTGTCTCCTGCTCCGTTTGATGCTGCTTGCGTTTATTAACTTTAGGGGTCTCGGTGTCGCTGTCACCGCGCTGAGCGTCGGCGGTGTCCTCTCCAGGCGGAGTTCCCAGCATGAGAGAGGCATTTTGCAGCAGCTGACGCCACAAGTGAGCCACCTCGTGAGGTGGGTGTCTCGGGATCCAGCGGCCAATGAGGTCTTCACCTTCGCTTTGACGGTGTAGATTCACGACAATCAGCTCCTTCCCCAGTCGCTCCGCCAGATAAGATACTATAAATGTCTTTCCCGCCCCGGTATCTCCCACAAAAAGCAGGGGCTCCTCCGCATACAATGCCCCCCCTGCCTGCTGCACCAATCTTAGCTGCTGTCCCGTCAGCAGCTCCTGTCCCGCCACTGACTCCCCCAAATCCTCAGCAGCACCAACAGCACCAGCTGCTGGTGTTGGTGATCCGGCCACTGCGTCTACTCCCAACGAGAGCAGACCGTCGTCCCCTGCGGTGTTTCTGCTGGGCGGCTTCTCGGGAATATGCAATTTGGGGAGGCAATATGGCCCCACTTGAAATGTCTCCGCCGTCTCTTGAAGCGCTGGTTTCTGACTGAACAGTAGCGCCTTCACTTGCTCTTCATGCACATCCCACACAGCAGCAAACGCCACAGCAGCACGAAGCCGCAACGCCCTGTCACTTAGGTGACTCAACAAAACTGCTGCTGCCTCTTCTACAACACGTACTCTCAGCCGCTCGGTGAGGAACCCCTCGAATATACTTGTGCTACTGCTGCCGCTGGCAGCAGCAAGCGTCTGCAACCTTCTACAGAGCTTTACAAAGTCCCTTAGCTGAGGCAGGCGGGCCGCTTTCGGCAGCGGCAGGCCCGGCCTAGAGAGGCCTTCTGCTGCACTTGTTGCTGCAGCATGGAAGGCCTTCTGGAGCCTGGAAGCAATAGGTGCAACAGCTGGAAACGAATGGACAGCAATTTGGTGAATATCTGCTACTGAGGGAGGGGGCACGTGCAGCAACACCCAGGACTCTAACAACGGAGACAAAGGAGGTGGTGGGGCCGTCAAAGCCACATCAAGACACTCGTCCTGTTGCATACCCACTGTCGAGTCCTCTGCTGTCCCCTCTGCTGCTGCTGATCTCTGGCCTCTGTTGCTGTGGGCAATACGCGGCTGTGTTGCTAGTGTAGCAAAGAGGGCAAAGTCTGGATGCACACGGAGCTGTTGCTGTTGCTCGTGAACTGTGAGACGGCCGGTTGTTGTAAGGCCGTGCAGCAGAGCATGTACGTCCTGTGCCAGCTGTTGCAACTGCTCTATCACTATCCACCTTCCCTCTCGCACGCAACGGGCAAGGATTCCCTCCTGCCACTCAAACTCTCCCGCGCGCCGCCCACAGACCCACGAGCCTGAAACGCACAACAGCATCAGCAATACCAAGTTCAGGAGCAGCCGGGGTATCATCCAGGCCATATAGAACCGGACTGCAAGAAACATCAGACGCACGTTGAGGCATGCAATCCAGCAGCAAAGACGCCCAAAAACCCCGGCGCGTCTCCCGAGCTATTGCGCAGAATCCACCAAACTATGGTTGTGGGTATTGCAATTACCCCGCGCCCCACAGAGCCCTCTCAACAAAGCCAGTAGCTTATCTGTCCTTTACCAGCCGCAACAAGGCGGCACTAAGTACAGGTGGCAGGAGCTTGATGGTTTGTGGTTCTGTGTGGGCAAAGCCCTCGTGTTTCCGCCCTACCGACGAGGTCTTTAGCTTCGGTTTGCTGGTCCAGGAAGACACTGACAGGTGGTCGAGGTACGCCCACAGTTTGCGCTAGCCAACGGATATATGAACTCTTGCCACTGCCTGGCAAGCCGTGCAGCAACACAGGGGGCCTCACACCCCACCTCCGCGAGTTGTAAGCCCACAACAGCTTCTGCAACAGCCGGCAAGCCAGTGGTGTTGGCACCAAAGGCAACAACGAAGTGTTTTCTTCCCAGCGTACCCTCCTAGAGCGGCCATTCTTGATAGCTAAGCCACCGAGGAAGCTCGCCTCAGACCCGACTGCTTCCTCTGGCCTCGGGGCATGCGAAGCTCCTGAAACTGACATTCTGGAGGCTGACCTGCAGCCTCCTACATGCTTCTTGGAGCATGCAGCTGCTTCGCTTGGTACTGCTGATGCATCTGGAAGTGCAGATTGCGCTGCAGATAAAACTGGAACTGGTTCTTCATCAGGTGTTGCAGTCCCCGATGGAGCTGCTGGCTCTGGGGGTGCAGGTGCCGCCTCTGCGGCGCTGCCGCCCGACCTCTTCTTGCGCCGCGCCCGGCCGGAAACATTCTGACTGTTAGCAAATTGGGAACCCATTTTCTGGAACCCCAAGAACGCTTCTTGCCACCTAAAATTTACGGGAAGGTAACCCTTCGGCGCGGCAAAGATAAATCAAGTATCTACTTCATTTCGTCACCATTGTTGCTCCTTTTATTCACTGCTTGCTTGCATTCGTCTACTGCAGCTGCATTGAGACGGCAACAGGCCACTGCCTGTTGCTGGTTCTGACCCAGATCACTACTGTGCCCGTTACCTTGGTGAGCTGCTGCCGTTGAAGCCTCGCACTTGTACAATAGGTCCCGCATGCAAAGAAAGGTGGGCGCGAGCGGGTAATCAAAAATGAGATGCCATCAGATAAGGATTTATCCTAACATTAGTTTTTCGAAGGACTTAAAAAATGACATATGCGGTTAAAAACTAGAAAATAAGTTGCTGGTTAGCCACAACAGCTGCAGATTGAAACGGACGAGCAGTGCCAGCAACTTTTGGAAAGAACTAGCATCCATGCAATGAATTAATTCTTAGAAGCCAAAATGAAACCAGGAATTGTTCTAATAAAAACTTCGTGAAAGAAGAAGAGAATTTTCCTGTTTTTTGTTTCCTGTGCCTCATCGGAAACGCGCATCGGGGCTGTGGGGCGGCTTGGAGCCGGATTTCGGGTATTTTCCAGCGTTGCATTAGACTGCATGTTCAAATACCGCACTTCGGATTCAATTTAATTACATTTAGTCATTTGTAATGCAGGCAAAAGGTAAGAGCCTAAAACAGCGGAACTTTCCGCGCAAAGCCTCACCAGCTGAGAGTTTCACGTTGGTAGGATTTCGGCAGCGGTCGATAGCCAGTCGGAAGGGAAATTCCGGGGGCATGAAATTATGGCCAACAAACAAATTAGTTTGATATTTGAGTTCGACTCTGTCTACGTTGTGAGAGAACACGTTGCTCCAGCCAATGTAGATTTGCTGTGTGATGATTCTTACGCCGTTCCAGTCGAAGTTGCCATGTAGAACACTGGTTGAAGAACCGCACTGAGAAAGTGAGTTAGATGAGTAGGCTGTGCTATATATCCATATTATTATTAGCATAGTATTCAGAGGAAATGTGTGCTTCTCCCCCCAAGTGTACGCTTGCTTGGTACACAACACTGCAGCAGAATGCATGACGTGGTACAAGTGTGAAACCGATCACGGTAGACCAGTATTCGTATTTTTCAAAAGCGATGCGGATTCAAGATATATCGTCACTTTGCATTTCGGCGCTTCTTGTTGTTTTCTTGTGGTGCAACGCATGCACATCTCTGCGGCTCTATCAGGCCGAAGGTGCCGAAAACGAGGACTTGACTGTAGGTTACTTAATTCACCACATAATAGTGTTGATACAAATTAAAACAAATGGGCACATAGGAAGAGGAAAAGGAGGATGACGTAGACAAAGTGGCTGAGGAGCTTGAAGAGCAAACAGAAAGGTGCATACCGTGTATCCTGTAACTTTTCATGAACCAGTTTGGCCACGACCCTCAGGGATAATGCTTTGGAAATGAAGTTGGAGCATGCACGGGACCTGGCGGAAGAGGCGGAAATAGCAGAGGTAAGAAGATTTGAAAGCGGCAATCCATTACTGAGGCAGGACTGAACATTCAGTACCATCCAAAAGGAAAATGCAGAGGACGAGGTAGCAAAGGCGGCTCTAGAAAAGGAACAAAAGGTGGGGACAATGAAGCTGCAATTCTTAGACGACAGGTATTCAGAGATGTTTGCAATGTTACATGCAGGACCGTGCTGAGAGCCCAGACAGGAAACTGGAAACGATGATGCAGGAGCTGGTTAATGTGTGTACAGAATTTAGCGCTCATCCAAGCCTAATATTATTACTTGTCTTAATTAGGTAGCATACAGACTGAGAGAAGTCAATAAGGTACTTCTATTCATTGGTTTGCGTGCTCTTTGCTTTTTCCCTACCAAACGCTTACCCCAGAAATTGGCTATCCTCGACTGACGGCAATGTACAAATGTGGAAACCGAAACATTACCAAAAACAATTTACTATAAAAACGACTTTGGCTACAGTTATGCCTCTTATTTTGTCTCCACGCATTGGCGGTCATCTGTTGGATAACTTCTTGCATCGGCCCAACTGTGCGAGTATCCGTGCAGTGCCACTTCAAGAGGGGCGTCCTTCTATTCTGCTTCATAATGAACCAGTTTCAGTTTCACTAGTTACAATGAATTTAAGAAATATTGACGCTATAGTGACTCGGGTAGGGCAGCGATTGTCTGATACATATGAACCTCGTGAACCACAGGACTGAAAGGGAGGCATGCGCACCTGGCTTCGAAAATTCCTCCACTATGCAGATCCCAATGGAATAGCATAGCAAGATTAATTCGTTCTATTAATACCTAAGCTTTAACTTATGATTGATTTCACCCAAGAGTTAGTAGTGCTGCAGAAGAGTCCGCCAGCTGTTCTTGTAGACCTGGTCTCCTGTGAGGGGACGGGTCGTACGACAGGCAGCTGGATGCATACTAGTGAAGAAATGTAATAAACCAGATATCCAATGCCACAATTAGAAATGGAAGTCCCTGCTAGGCTAGCTTTTTTTGTGTCTTGGGATGCCTCCGGCACAGGCGATATAAAGGAGCTTATCCTAGTGTACTACACTGGGGATAGCTCAGTGGAGTTGCGAAGCATCCAGAGCAGCACTGGAAACTTGAAACGCGTAACAGTTCCTCGAAGTGTAGCTCAGTCTCTCTATCCGGGAGCTCAACTTGTCCTGTTTTCACGGCACATTCGCATCGAGGATGCAGCCAACGAGCAGACGGCTTCTTTCCTCGAACGTTCCATGGAACCGGCCTTGTGCATATGGCGTGCAGATGACATCCATACGTTCGCATACACCCTGCAAAGCTTCTTAGACTCTGGCCTCATCCTGACCCAGTGCAGACAGCTTGTACTCGATGGGTCGTTTGGGGAATTCCTTAAGGATCATACTCCCCAAGTAGTAATGCAAGGTGACTCCTCCGTTTTTTCCTCATCGGCCATTGCTGCCTTCCTTGTAAGAGGAACTGACGCAGCCCATAAGTACGCGTGATTCCTTGTTGTGCACATTTCATCTGACACAGGCTGCCAGCATCCCGTCCCTCTAACAGCCTACATCGGAGTCAATATAGTAACTTGCCTCGCTGTTGCTGTTTGCCTGTACTTTTCACTCTAGGGTATGCTCCTTGACAGACACAGGCAAGGGATTGCTAGTAACCTCAGCAGGGACGCCGTCAGAGGCTGTGGAGCAGTTAGCTGCGGAGTTGTGTGGGAAAGCAACTGAGAGGCCTGACGCTGCTCCTGCTACTGCAACTACTGCTGATGGGGCTGTCACCTGCTGCATTATAAAACCCCACGCGTTGCAGCAGACAGGCACTGTCCTTGGAGAGCTCAGCAGCAGCGGCCTCTCTATCCGCAACATGCAGAGCTTCCGTCTTACAAGCATCGCGGCTAGAGAATTTCTAGAGATATACAACACTGTACTTAAGGAATATCCAAAGGTACGGAAAAAGCCTCGTTCCAGCTTGCCCCATTCATTGCAATGTGGGGACCAATGGTCAAACAAGAAACGTGCTGCTACTGGCGCTGCGTCGACTGCTGCTGCTGCCGCTTCTGGCCACGCTCCCTGCTGCAGATAGTGGAAGAGATGACAAACGGAACTGTGCTGGCTATACAGCTGGAGGGACCCGAAGCAGTCGCCCGCCTTCGGCGCCTAGCAGGCACGCACGCGTAGCTGTCATTCCTGTCAAGAATCACACATGCTCAGCAGCAGCAGGCGTTGCAGAAACCGTGCTGTGTGTCACTGCTTGAAGCAGCAATGCTTGTGATCGCCGCAAATGGAGCAGGAATAGAAGCCACCAGAGCAGCAGCACCATTAAAAGTGGCGGCAGTAGAATGCATAGCAGCAATAGCTGAGATCAAACCACTCAGCATACGTCTCGTAACGTGGCGGTCCATCGCAGCCGCAAAAAATCTCAACATGGGGTACAGCATTTCCTCTGGAAACATTGACGCTGTTTGGTGCACATACAGCTGATTGTGTCTGTATGCGTGTAGGGCCTTACGATCCCGAGCTGTGCCGTTGCCTATATCCGTCGACGCTGCGGGCCAAGCTGGGGAAAGACATTCCACGGAACGCAATTCACTGTACTGACCTCGCTGAAGACGGGGTCCTCGAGTGTTCCTACTTTTTCCAGCTTATGCCCCCCCACAACCATCGCACCCCGCACACAAGCGAGGTCAACTCCAACAACTTCACCCCTGTCGTCAGCAAGCCCTGAAACGTGGTACTGAACGCGCTGAGCCTGCATCAATGGAAGCTTCGTACGTGATGGATGGCATGCATATGCAGAAAAAGCGCGCTGGACATGCATGTTGTAGCCCTTTGCGTGTGCAACCCGAACCACAAGCCGCTGCAGAGCGTCTTTGACTGCAGGGGTCACCGCACTACCTCAGAGCCTCTGTGGGCCAATGTGGGCACCGCAAGGTACGCATGAGCCAACAGCTACACCATGAAGCTTTTGCCACATCCGCAGGAGTGTTTTTGGTTGGGATTGTTGAATATGAAGCCCGTCTGCACGTCTTCATCTACAAAGTCAACTTGGGTCCCTATAAGCAGCATCACAGCATCCGCAGCCACGCGGATCTCCACGCCCTCGACTACGACCACCTCATCTTCTCCCCAGTTTTTACGCCTGTGACCGGATAACCCCAAAGGACCAGACGCATGGGAAGGCGTTGCAGAAGCTTCCGTTGCTGAACCATCGTGAGGGCGAGGCTGCCGCTCTGTGCATAGAGTCACGTCATACGCCATCCCGCTGCATCCCTGCCGTTGAAGACTAATGCGAATGCCTGTGGCCTTGAGAGAAGGCTCCCCATCTAGTTGCTCCTTCTGCAAGGCGTCGTTGTACTCCTTAATCAACTCCTTTATGTGCTGCACTGCTGCTGGAGTCGCAGAGACCAGCGGTGGTCGCCCGTCAGCGGCAGCACCTGCAGCAGGAAAAGCACAATCTCCACGTGCACCACGCACAGCTGTTGAACCAGCTCCGTCCCAAGCACGAGGCGCGCACGTGTCATTAAATTCAGACGATATGCTGCCTCCGCTGCTGTTGGGGCTGATTCTAGGCGACTCAGCCTTGGTGCGTGGTGAATCTGCAGCCGCAACTGTGCATTGGATGTGTCTCTTTTGACGGTCGCCGAGGCTTGAGCCTTGTTGCACCCATGACTTATTATGCTGAGAAGCCACGAAGCAACAAGCAGCAGAAGGAGATTGGGGAACGATAGTCCAGATGCCCCGTATGGCTCTGGTGTTCAAGCGACAGCAGCACCTTAAGTGGGAAGGTCCCTGTACGCTATTCGTTTGGGTACAGCGGTCCACGTGCTGCTCGAATAACCTATTTGACTCCTTTGCACAGGCTTTTGGGTTTTCTGCTGCTGTTAGTGCAATCCGATCCCTTGGGCTTCCTTCCATTCGCCCGTCGAGGCCCGATGCCAAGGCCCCTCTCGCATCCCCTACAGAGACCCCATCCACTCCTGGTGAGCCCCGAAACTGCACAGGACCCCCGCAATGGGTGAACGTGATCGTGGACAAGCGCCCAAAGCCACGTCTAGCGAGCATCTTTGGCAGACACCGCAACGCACGCACGCCCCACGGTTCCACAGAAACAGGTCCTGTGGGTGGATGCCTTCTGGTCTAGGATATTAAACATACACGTGCACCTAAAGTTGGTATTCGAACGTTAGGCGGTTGCGAATGGTCTTTCTCCCCTTGGGGTGAACATATCAACGAAGACAGCAAAATGTACATTGTTTGCGGCTGCTACCAACGGCAAATACTCGAATTTTGCATGGCAGCAGCAGGGTCATGCTGCCGCTGCAAAAGAGGCAGCAACTGGCGATTCTTCGGGCCAGAAGCAGCCGTAGCAGCTGCTGCTGCACGCGCGGCTTTCTAAACAAGGGGGCAGCGGATGCAGCAGCAAAGGGTCGTGAATGTACTAAGAGTGCTGTGATTATGCGGAGAGCGGCAAGGTGGTGCTACAATATGTAAATGCAGAAACTCCGAGAAGTGGAATCGCAGGTTTTCGCACTTCAAGCCATTAGAAGGCGGTGTCTAAAACCAATGCATGCCCCGAGGCCTGTAGAGGAAGGGGGTTCCTTTGCGGTCAATTACAGACAGACGAGCAGCGTATGAGCCCAATTAGATGATTAAGTGGACAATAGAACACTTGGAAAAGAGAAAAACTTTCAATTCTGAAAAAAAAAAACAGCTAGAGATCAACGATTTTTTGTGATGAGGCGGCTGCTGTAGTGCACAGGCACTACAATGTGGTTCCGGTGTGATCTCTAGCAGCTTATTGATTGTAAAGAGAATAAATATTAAATAATTTTAGGATTAGGACATTAATAACTAGGAAAAGGAATTAATACTGCTAAACGTTCTAAGAGTTGGGAACCGTAGATAGAGTCATAGTTTAGTAGGATTACCCAGCCAGTCACCCATATCGGCGGTGTAAGCAATGCTTAGTCACTACCTGGGTACCAGTTAGGACTTTTAGAGGTCTAAATGGAAAGGAAATAGTATTACTATTTTATAGAAGAATAATGCCAGTGAATAGGACATTTATGTGGATAGCAGTGTGTCGTTGTTGCTGATATCTCCCCGTCGTCATAGGTCGGGCAGACCCCCAGTGAAGACCGGGCTCAGCTCCGAACCCAGAGCTTTAATTGTTCTGGGAACTTCCCTTGTTTACAATAGAGGCTTGAGTATGTTTTTGAACTTCGAATCGTATTAACTTCTGGTAATATGGGTAGTTAGAGGATGTAGATGGGAAGCCAATCGCTATGTGTAACCCACGGTGGCCGTCTACCGTGGCGACGTATGACCCCCTAATAGGCCTGAGGCCTCTATGATGCTAGATCTACGGATTGCGTGTCAAAATAACATTAGGTTCCTGTTATTCCCGGGGGAAATCCCTAAATTACGGAACTGCCTCCCCACTCGTCCGCCACGAGTGGCTCTCCCAGGCTTGGTCCCCGTAGTACCTGGACAACATTATAGGGGCACTCCCTCCAACTCTTTCTCCTCCGATGACCAAGACCTTCAACGGCTTTGCGATCGGGCTCAGGCTCACATCCTGAAGGCAAAATGGCGTCAAAAATACTACGCGGACGCTCGACGTCGCCCCGTGAAGTACAAGGTTGGAGATCGTGTGTGGATCAGCAGCAAGCACCTACCCGCCTAAAAAAAATGTGCTAAATTTGAACCACGGTGTCGGGGTCCCTTCCCATTCCTTGAGCGGTTCGGAGAGGTGGCTTACCTTATTGGCTTTCCCCGAACTTATTCAGGGCATAACGTTTTTCATGTATCCCAATTGGTTCCACATCGCCAAAGACCTGCAGCACAAGTTCCACAGGATGCACCGACAGGGTGGCCACCAGTCCGGGCTGCGGCAGGAAATCCGACGGACCAATTCCTCGTCGATTATATTACGGATCAACGCGGCTCTGGGGCTTCAGCTCGCTGTCTGGTCAAGTGGCGTGGCGCCCCAGAAGAACGGGCCACGTGGAAGCAGGCACACCATCTCCTAGATTTTCGCGGTGTTTTCCGCCTAGATTTGCAGGTTGAGTTTGCGTTTAGCAGCTCCCTGTAGCTTCACAACCGTTGCATCGCAGCCCAGCATCAAAGCAAGTTGGTCCCATGGCATGAAAAGAAGGCTGCAGATCAGTACAATCGGAAGCTCATATGTTGGATAAACTCATTTTCTGATGGACGTTTGAACACAGTCCTCCTGTGGCAGTTCCCAAGTATGCGGGACCTCCTGGGTATCTGTGGCATGTGGGGTCGCACGTACATGATTGCAGAGCAGCATCTCCATGATGTCTCAAGATGGACGTAGAGTTTCTGCGTGCCATTATACTTTGCAAGCACAAACACGTGGTTGCACCTGCCACAGAAACACGGGGCGCTGCATAGCTCGTTAAGCAGCGTTTTGGCCTCTTTTTGGGTCAACTGACAATACAATGGAGGTTCTCGATTAGGTTAATTCTTCCAGCTTTCTATCAGTTTAGAGGGTTGCTTGGGCGTTTCGTGCATGAAAGGTGCATAGTGTGCAACGAACTTCCTGTTACTGCTTTTGGTGTATCTGTTGCATCTGTAATGTTGATGAAACCACCATTCGCTTATTTTTGTCCGAAGTGAGGGTGTCTATAGCGGGAGATAAAATGTTGGCGTTGAACAGGAGCAGACAGAGCGGAAGCACCAGCAGCCGCTGCTGTTGGAGCAATGCACGGACCTCCACCAGCTGCAAAACGAAGGCCTGCCCGTAAATTAAACAGTGCTGAGCCCAGCTAGTAACAAGTGCAACAGTATCGCGAGCAACAGCAGCAGGAACGGCTTACGGGGTATTCACCATGGGCTCAGCAGGGTCGTCCACTGGATCATAAGAACAAACGAATCACAGTTGTCTTGGTAGCTCACATATGCCCTGTCGCCCTCCCAGCAGCAGGAGCCGGCACGGCTGTCTCGAGGTGCGCAGCAACAGAAACAGGTGCGGCAACAGAAGTGTTGGCGGAAGAACAACTCAATTCAGAGTCTATTCTTGCAGGACGGAAGGAACCAATGGAGCATAGCTTTACGGTAGCTCTAGCGCGCCTTCCGGCTTCCCGCGCTTCTGACGTGCTGACTACCGTCACTCCTGCATATGGTGCCGCTGCAAACGTTGCTGCTGAAGCTGCTACTGTCGAAGGAATGCAAACACATGGCTTACAGGAGGGGCAAGCGCAGGAGAAAACTGAATCCCCCCCGGGGCTCCCTTGAGGTTTCCATCTAGGCTAGACTTGTTCAAACAGTCGGCGTCTGTACTTGTATCTAGCAGAAAACATGTGACTTCTTCAACTGCGACTTCCCTGGACCATAGACCTTTTACACTGGAGAGAGATGCAATGACCTTAAAGCGCCTTCCTGCTCAAAACCCGGCGCATGTGCGGACACATGATATGATGCAGATATACGTACTCCACTGGTATCGAATTTTCGTCATCAAGCGTTTCTGTACGCTTCTGTTCTAGCGTTTACAATCCCAGTCGAAGTTAGTCTCCCACTCTGTTTCAGTGCCGTCATCTCATGCTCCTCCTGGGTTTAGTCAGCTACCTTCTGAACATTTCTTTGAGTTTTGCACCCCCTCGCAGTAGTACAACGGCCCACACTAGAGGCTAATAAGAGTCATAATGCGCAAAGCACCAATCCTTATGAGCAGTATAAGGAGGCACATGTATCTTACTTCATGATTTTAGATGCTGTTACAAGTGCCTCTAGCAATGAAAGAAGCTGCTTCCACATTTTAAGGCCCAAGGGTGTCTGCTCTAACAAACTGCCTGACGCGCTAGAGCAGCGGGCCATACAGGTTTGTCAACCCCGAACACAGGCCTTTTCCAAAGCTTTCCGACCCATATAAGCTGTCATCCGTACGTGTTTGCCGACAAACGAATACACTTCGTCAATCCCAACCCCACCAACGACGCACCATTCTAGAACAACCACTTGTTCGCAAGCGGAGGCTGCTAAGGGCATGGGCGATGTGTAGAAGAAGGGCCATGCATGATACTTCTATTAACACAAAGGATTCCCTTGTGTGCCCCAGATGTGGGAATTAGATGTATGATGCCCCTACCCGAAGTGACGTTGTCGGACCCACAACGGTCTACAGAGTTTTCCCTATACCGACTGACAAAGGGAGGCAATTGCCAACTCCAAATTTTAGGATGAGAACCTCCATATAATACAATCGGCCAATGTTAGAGTCACTTCTCGAAATGGCATTGCCGCTGCCGACGGTGCGTCCCGTTGATGCTCACCCCTTTCGTGGCCTCACTGGTCTGAAAGCGTTCACAACTAGCCCTGAAGGTATTATTGTGGTTTACCGCTTAATAGTTCAAAGTGACGCAATTTTTTCCTCCAACACCAAGCATTGAGCAACACCTGTACCTACTGCCCTCAGGCTTCCTTCTGGCCCCCCAGTCTGGGAGAAGAGCCCGCGTGGGAATTCTCGACTGTCATTTTAGCTACCTATGTATCATCATCTTCGGGCACACTTGGCCTGAGGAGCTTCAGAACTTCTAGTTTTGTGGTTATTGATGTTAGTGTTCACGTTCTTGGCCTTAATCCACCTGCGTGTGCATATATCACCGTCGATAGCGTACACCCTGTCTAGGGGCACCCATCTGGCACTTCTACAAGGCTCTGCCCTTCGACGTTTACCGTCGATCACTTTTGAGCAACGACGAAGTCAAGGGACATTTCCCTTCAGTCATTCGGATCTACTGGGGACCTTGGCCTGTGGTTTGCGGCATAGCGCCCCTGACTGTCAACCATACAGAGAAATGACGGCTAAGGGGACAAAGGAGTTGGTTACAGCGTCCAAAGTCGACGCAGAAGAGGAGAGGGCAGGTCCGGGTGATGCAGGAACAAAGAGAAGGTTGGAGGGTCCGTGTTTGCGTGCTGGGCCCCGAGTGAACAGCTACAGCTGCTGCAACTTCCAATTCACCTCTCTCAATTTGGAGGGATAGTCTCAACAGAAGCTCGCCTTGTCAACGTCCGCTTACTTCGCAGGTGACATAATAAAGACGGAGGAGAAGGACACCCACGGTCAGCCGCCGTCAGTAGAATCCAAGAGCAGCAGCGTCGTTGCCACAGGAAGGACATTCGCAACAGGAGACGAGGAAGAGGCGACTGAGGAGCCTGGATCCACTAAGGATTCACCTGTCGCAAAAAAGCGACGAGTAGCCGCCAAGGCCCGCGCCAAGGCCTCTGCTGGGAAGAAGAATGTAACTGCCACAACTGCGCCACCAACTACTACTCTTAAAGCAGACGAGGAGTTTACTGCATTGGCGACATTGGCGGCCAAGAGTCGCAAGTTCGTAGGTGCCCACATCTCAGCAGCAGGTGGCGTTCACAATGCTCTTATCAGCTGTTTCAATGTGAAAGGTAGGCTGTACACTTCCAGCTGTTCATCCTCCCTAGTTTAACCGAACAATTTTTTCCTCCCCCATGTAGCTTACTATCACCTCGCTGAATGTTACCGCGAGTATGCCACTCCGCTTGCTCTGCACTGGATATTGCTCAAATGTCGGAGAGCCGTTGCTGTTTGGGGTTTAGAGTGCGAGAATTTTATTTGTGGGGCGAATGAAACAGGGCAGGCTTTCGCGCTATTTCTTAAATGCCAGCGAAAATGGGTGTCACCTCCACTGGTATGCCCGAGCACACCTTGGCCCTACCGATCTCATACAAGGGTTGGAGCCGTTCCTTGGTGCGAACGCAAAGAGAAGGGGTTGAATACGTTCCTTTTGGGGGGATTGTGTGGAATCGGCTCAGGCGTTGACGGCGATTACTGGCTTTAAAGAAAGATGTGACCAGCTGGAATTGGACAAGGCCATGCAAGTCCTGCCTCATGGTAGCTACCTCATCAATGTGGCCAACCCAGGTGAGAGGGCCGGTTGGTGTAGGGGATCGCACTTGGCGTTCCTATCTTGAGGACGACAGCCAGTGCGAGGGGGGATTGTAACTCGCTTTCAGCTAGCTCAGCAATTTCCCCTCAAGAAACGGGAGGGGCTCTTTATTTTAGAGGTCATTATTTAAGACAAAAAGAGAATGCCGTTAGTGCGGTCTTTCGTGTTTGCTTTGCTCTGGTGGACAGACAAGACAAAACAGGAGAATGCGTATAAAGCCTTTCTCGATGACTTGCAGCGGTGCGAAACGCTGGGCATTAAGCTCTACAATATCCACCCAGGTCCGTTAGGATTGTGAAGCCATGGAGTCATTAGGTGTGATTCAGTTCAAGTGTACATTGAAGGGACCAACTGGCGTGAATTTTCTAGACACACAGGTTAACCAGTTGAACTAGGGGATAAGGCATTGCTGCGTGTAAAGATGGTGAATTGCATATTATGTTTGCGACGCATTGCTGGTGCCTACAGGTTCTACTGTGGGTGACTGCAGCAAGGAGGAGGGAATCCGTAACATCGCTGTAAGCTTTCCCTCTGATTGCCTGGATGGCTGATGCAGCACAGCGAAATAAGCCGAATGTACGTTTTCGATAATCAAAGTTTTTGGGGTTTCCTGCGCCTGCTGCTGGCTGCAGGCAGCAGTCAATAGGGCACACAAGGACACGAAGTTCGTAGTAGTTGTGCTGGAGAACATGGCTGGCCAGAAGAATGTCATCGGTAGCAAATTCGAAGACCTCCGCGACATCATCGATCTGGTTGAGGACAAAGATAGAGTGCGTTCTAACAAAAACTTCAGTCCTCATATTCGGCTAAAGCTCATTTAACAGTGGAGTAGACATATAACAAAGCATTTCCTCAGGCTAGTGGCGCTCCGTTTAGACGCACTCAGTGGGTGTTTACGGCATGCTGTCTTGTTTTAGGTGGGCGTCTGTCTCGATACGTGTCATCTCTTCGCGGCAGGTGCGCCACAAGCGCCGGTGATACGTATAGGGCCCCACTGATGCACTAAAAATTCATTCGGGCGATTAAATGAGGGTCTTATTTTTTACGTATCAAGCGGAAGTCGGGTGGAGTGTAAACACAACCTGGGTGTGTTTGTGTAGGATACGACATTCGCACTGCGGAGAAGTTCGAAAAGGTGATGGAGGACTTCGACTCCATTGTTGGTTATAAGTTCCTAAAGGGAATGCACTTAAATGACTCCAAGTCAGAACTAAGCTCAGGATTGGACAGGTAGGGAACAATGTTCGTATCCACTTGGTAAAGAAAGAATTGAACCCTCTGATGTTACTGGGCGTTTTTCCATAGTTCGGTGTGTCAAGTCGGACAGACCTGGTCCTAATATAATCCCATGCAGAGCATGCATTCGTCACGGTATTTACAGGTTCATGCTTAGCTAAATGACCGTCAATGAGCTGCATGGGTCTGGGGTACATATGCATTTGTTCTGCGTATTTCTGTTTGTGAGCTGCACCCTCTGCACCGCCCGCCAGGGCATCTAAACCCCCTGACGGTTCCGCACTACCCTCTAAGTGTAGCGGCGTTGCGGTATTGTAGGCACGAGCTGCTTGGGAAAGGCCACTTGGGTCTGGAACCGTTCAGGTATATCATGAGACACCCATGGCGATTCAAAGACATGCCTCTAGTCCTCGAGACCCCGGACCCTACCGAAGGCAGCATATGGAAGAAAGAAATAAAACAGATGTACAGCTTCCTAGATGAGAAAGAAGAATAATTAATGATACCTAGCTCATTGCGATGGGGTCCAGAACAGCTGCCGCGTGCGCCCTCTCTGTTGACCCCGCTGCGTCATTTCTTACTGAATACGCTCTCCAAATACTTTCCACTCGTTCTAACCTAGCGGCTCTTCTCCTGTTCTCTTGAGCTGACGTGACTCGCCGGCAAAACCCAGCATGCAAACGAGTGTTCGCAAGGAACCCGTCGGCTCCATGTGCACAGACACTACGTAGACGAGGCTCTCGAACAAGCCACAACTCTTTGGAGTACTAAAGGCTATTGTCTACTTCACGTGTGCAGCCTTATAGCAGGAACTGCCCTACTGGTAACTCCTCGTGATGAAGTAACTCTGATCTAAGCAGCTACTCCGTATTCAACCCTTAGTATATAACACTCATGTCGACAGCACGTATACAGTAATAAGTCTAGACTATTAACAGTCCCATCCGACCGCATAAGGTTAACTATCTTTTGAAACCCCGCGTGGCCGCGGCAGCTACTGCTGTCCTTGGCCGTTGCGCCGGAGCGAGCATGCTAGCGTGCATGCAAGTATTCCTCCAGCGACAGGCGAAGACGAGCGGTTCAGCCTTCACAATGCAGCAACGGCCTCTGCCGCTGCTGCCATTAACTCTCAGGCTGAGGGGGAGACAACGCACTGACGAGCGATGACGTCCAACTCCTTCTGACCCAGCTTCGTCAACCGTCTGCCACTGAAAAAAAAAGAAACGCAATCTCACAGAGGGCCCACACTGCGGATTACGCCCCCAGAAATAAAGCACGACGTTAACGCCAGCAGCACCGAGCTGTGGGGGGTGCGCCAACCCAAGTATCGTGGTGGACGCTCACTTGTCTGGGCGAGACTCCACAAGCCCCATGGCCTCAAACTGCTGGAGAATGTAACGGATGATCTTCCCACTAGCCTGCGCAAAGAATCACGAAAAGGGAGACGTGGGTGTACCATGCATCCTGGCAATACTGTTTGGGCTGGAGCCATAAGCTGGGAGGGCGCTACATTCCACCTGCACCATGCACAGCTACCACTGCCTTCCAAACGTGACACACCTTGCTGGTGTGTCCTGGAATGCATTTCTTGCCATTCTTGCAGGAGAAGACCTTTCTGAATGCGCCCACGCCGCAGTTCGGGCGGAGGTAGAGATGCCGCAGTATGGCCGCCGCACGCTTGAAGATCCAGTCAGGGTCCTGTGGCGCCAGGGTCTTGCCCTGCAGAAAAACGAACGCAAACAACACCACAACTAAAAACAGCTGCACCTGCTGCAAACGTCAAAGTCAGTGCAGCCTTTAGTTGAACAGTGCCGCGCAGGGTGGAGGAAGCACTTTACAGAGTTTGGGTGTGTACATTCCCCATGAGTGACGGGAGACCTACATATCCTGTTTTCACCAAATCTGCCCACATGGGGACCTGGAACTTTCCTCGCTTCTTAAGATGGTTTGCATAGGCCTGGATGAAGGATTGGGCCACAACGTCCTTTACCGTGTACACGGGGGAGGGCCCGAGCCGGTATTCCTCGAGAAATGCGTCCATCTGCAACATACAAAACAACAAGTTACCCCATTTGCATACCTAACAACAACACTGAAAAGCGAACCACCAACACGCCGTCAAACATAGCTGCTCGTGCCTTCCCCTCGATCCCCACTGTTGGCGATACTCTCATAACAACCTTAGCACACACGAATGCCGCCAGGCATACAACAACAACGTCCAACAAAGGATCCCCAATAAACCAGCAGTCTCAAAACCCGCATGTGTTCTCTCTTCCAAAACCAGAGGACCGAGTCCCCATCGCATGTAGCTGGAAGCCAGCTTCTGCAGTTCGTCCCCAAGAAACGCAGGAAAGACTATGGACACAACAGAGAGCAGATGATTTAGAGCAGCATCCAGTACAACCCGAACTATCTGTGAGAAGGCTTGCGGCGGCCAACGCCCAAGCGCATCGGTGGGAGGAGTACCGGCCGCCGTTGGTTACTCTATGTGAACCGCTCTTAGTCCTAAATTCATCCTCTATACCATTTGAAACCAAGAAATGGTGAAAAAACAAGGATACAGGAAACCCCACGATGCCGCTGCTGCCAGCCCGCCGCGTCGCCGTGCTGCCGCTGCCACGGGAAGGGGAGGTGAGTGTTCCTCACTTTGCGCAAAGACTTCCGGTCTCCACCAGATATATTATGAACCGCAAAACACGAGAAAACAGGCGTTTTTAGAGGGCTTGTTGGTTCTTCGCGAAGCGCACGTGGGCTGGGGTACTCCTACACCCGGGGCCGCCCCCCACAGGCCACTTGCAGCCCCAGGGCGGCAGCATGCGACCATGCACAGAAGGGCCAAAGCGCTTATTTCAGTTATAGGGGGCACTCTCATTCCCATATCAATAAGAGTGTTTTAAATATAGTTTTATTTATTGGAGCTAAAATTAACAGGCGTTCTATTGTTTCGCCTCCCCTTCCGTATAAAGCCCCAACGGGCCTAGTCAGCGCTGGCTGGGCGCTTGAGCGCCACAGGTCGACGAAGGTTGGCTATGGTCCTGGATGCAAGCTGTAATGTTTTCTTTCTTTTGGAGACCTTCTCTGGCCCGGATGACATTTTCTGCAGCCGTGAGATCACCTTGGCTCTGAGGACACCCCTACTGACACAAAAAGCCTCGTAATCGCGGAAGGGGAACTGACACGACGTCTTCCCCGTCCACGTCCAAGTGTCTGCCGAGTACATACACCACTTCTGTGACTCGTTTTTGCCTTTTTTCGCTCAACAAAGAGCCTGTGGGAAGGGTAGCTGCTGTGCACGGCTCATTGATGGAGACAACCTGCAACCACGAGGGAAGGGAGGGGTTCGTAGTGTGTATTTGCAGGTAGTAGCTTGGGGACGCTCCTCCAGCTTCAAGCTAATTAACGTTTTTGAGTTATTTAGTGTATTCTCTCTCGGAGCCGCCAGTCGACGTGCTACTTTAAAGCGCAGCCGCCAGGAGACCAGACCAGACCAGTGGTCCGCCTGGTACACACCCGAAAGGATGCCAAGCTCACGTCACCAAGAAGTCAGGCCAATACACGGTGCCTTGGCTAGTGGGATGCGGAATTTGCTTAGCAGTGGAGCATCTGTTAGGTCTGCACGCGGCAACCGTCGGGTCTCACACACAGCGTCCACAAGAGGGCCTCCACAGCAGACCGGCCTCAACAGCATGAGCAACGCTAACTCAACTCACCAGACAGCTCGGCCTGTCGCGGATGAGCAGAGAGGTGGTGAGGCAGGCGGGTCTTTGGCCTCTGCTGATGCACCAAACTCCTTCTGGAGACACCAAAGTCAAGAGACACTCTTCCGCCCACCCAAGGTTCCATTCCCTCCCCCCAGCACCGTTACTGTGGGCGCTGTTTGGTCCTGGCAAATGGGGGAGGGTCTGTGGATCCCCTTTGATTTGCAAGTCCTGCAACTTCTGGAGAGCCTATGGCTGCACTTACAGGACGAACAGCAGCAGGATGAGCTACCAGGCACACTCCAGGCGTCTCTGGAGAGAACACAGGATCCACAGCAGCACCAGGAGCAACAGCAGGAACGAGAGCAACCTCAGGAGGGGGAGCAGGGACAAGATATCGCTCAGGACCGAAGAGGCGATGATGAACAGGAAGCGGAATACCCGACGGGAGAGACAGCCCCACAAGCTCTTGCCCGATACAAGCTGTACGTACACCTTGTGCCGTGGAATTATTGCCTTGACCTGCACACGGTGACACAGAAGAACCTATCGACCCACAGAGTACGGCCTATCCGCAGGACGTTCGAAACGGTGGGCTTGTGGTTTGCCCGTGGCCCAGATGGATACGCAGAGAGGTGCGTCCACCACTGACACAGATGCCACACAACTTGGTCCTGTAGCCTGTGTTTCTGTAGTGCATCTCCAGGGAGAAGAAAACTGAGCGAGACGTGTGTTGCTACTAAGCGCAGTTGAGAGTGGCGGAAGGAAAGAGAGGATAGCAGACATTTCGCACTATGCAGGTGGTGTCCTCCGCAAGCTAACGAGGTGTTAGGAGGTGCCATTATGCTTATCTACAAGCGTTGCATATTTGTCTTCGTATATGCATGCATTGGTTTACTTCCTTCATGCTTATTCACTTATTATTTCCTCGATCGATTCGTATGAAGACGGGATTTGCAGGTTTGCGCCAGAGTTGGAGGTCCACTTGGAAAACCTCTGGCAAGAGTCGCGGGATGGAAGGAGGTCTCCCGGGCCACTGGTTATTGCCTGGCAAGATCCTAGAACGGACAGTGTACACTACACGGACGTACGAGCAATGAAGGACTCGACTGGCAACGGCAGCCACAGAGATGTAGGCTGTGCTGCCTGGCTGCTGCGAAGTTCGTTCTTCTGTTACCTGAAGCGGTTTGGGGGGTTTCAGCGCCGCAGTAGACGCACATAGAATATGTTTTGACTTGCATTCTTGGGAGGTTTTGGGCGTGTGAACAGATCATGCGCATGGAGCTCGTCTGCGTGCCCCAGAACGGTTCACTAACAACTATTGACTGTACCGCAGCGGAGGATTCCGTTCCTACCTTGCCTTCTCTTGAGGTAGGTAGCGAAGAGTCAGGAGAGGCTTTCTGTAGGGGGCACAAGGAGTGGTTTGGTCCAGATGATTTCCGGGCCGCTCTCAATGCTGTACGCGCAGACGGTAAGGGTGAATCCATAAAAGCCTCATATACAGCAGTCGATAACTCAGGGGTCCTCATTATGTAATTACTTACCGCCGCCTATAAGGTTCCCTGCACAATTGTCAGCACCTTCCCACCAAAGCTGTCTTTTTGTAGGAACAAGTAAAAACGCATTGTAGTACGGATTAGAGATGTGCCTCTTATCGACCTGGCGTTCGGGGCTGTAACCTGTTTTTTTTGCAGAAATGCCCGAAGATGTTTGCGCCATCTGCCTCGAGACATTTGTGAATGGAGACGGCGGAGACTCGGAGGGGCTTGAGCAGGAGTTACAGCAAAACGCCGACGCAAATGCCCACAGCAGAAGCATCACCAGGAGCGTCAGCAGAAATGTAATCAACAACAGCAACGGGTACAGCAGTCATAGTAACAGCAGCAGCGGTAAAACAAGCAGCGGCAGCGGTGCCAGCAGCGGCAGCGGTGCCAGCAGCGGCGGCAGCAGCAACGTCGGAGGCGGTAGTAGCAGCAGCGAGGGCTTTAACATACAGAGACGCTCGTTTAGTGCCTGTACCTCAGAAGGCTGCAGCGAAATTGTGCCGTCTGAGGTCGTCGACTGCGAAGACAACAGCCCCTCAAAGTCAAACTTGATAGACAACAGCAGCAGTAGCAACCATGAAGTTGTGAGGCTACGCAAATGCCCACATCACTTTCACTCCGACTGTATTCGCATGTACATGAAGAAGTGCACCAGGGGAGGGTTATTCTGCCCTACCTGCAATGTGCTGCAGCTCCCGGGAAACGGCCCATCACCGCCAGGTAGAATACACGTCTTGTTGTTGGGCTCGCTGTAACCGCCTGAGTTGTTCGCAATTCTGCTTTTGCTGGTGCAGTGCAGTAGCCGCGCTTGTCGCTATTCATTTCTGTGTGTCATCGCAGGGAAGATGTCTTGGAGGATCTCCCGGCACTCTTTGCTAGCGGGACACCCGACAGAAGGTGGGTGGGAGGCGGGACACCTAGGTGCCTTCGTAGCTTTTGAGATCTTTGTTGCTGCTGCTTTCAGTAGATTTGGTACTAGTGTGGGTGGTGTTGCTGCTGGTCGTACAGCAGATGGTCTGTGCGGTGTAGAGCGTGCTCACTACAGGAACCATCATTATAGACTACGTGGTTGAGGGGGGCATTCAGACGGAGAGGCATGCCCATCCCAACACTCCATTCACAGGCACTCGACGACAGGCGTTCTTGCCGGACTGTTTGCTAGGCCGGCAACTGTTGCGATTGCTTATACGCGCGTTTGTTAAGGTATAACATTTCCCTGCGGGATCACCGCTGTTGTTGGACTGGATGACAAACCACTATATATTGTTTTGCGGTGCCTCTCGTTTGAGCTGCCGATGCTGCGGCTGCTTGTGTGTTTCTTCAGGGCCACACGTTCACTGTGGGGAACAGCGTGACTTCGGGACAATCCAACGTTGTGATCTGGAACGGAATTCACCACAAGACAAGCGTTTCTGGAGGTAGGCGCTCAGGTATTGGCCTCCGTCTCTCCTGCTGTCAGATGAATCGGGTGCTCTCTTCTGTGCTGCGTGGATCCGATTGGCCATCCAGTGTCGCACTTGCATGCCTGTTCTCCCCTCTTTCAAGCTCCGCGCTAAGGAAGGTGGCGCGGGCATCAGTCATATACCCAACCGTGCTGCAACTCCTAAAATCCGCCCCTCTATTTTATGTGGCGCAGGGCTGTTGTGCTATGGTTACCCTGATGACACTTTTTTGCTGCGACTCGCTGAAGAGCTCAGGGAGCGAGGGTTCCCCCTAGAGCAACCGCAGGAAGGGTAGGGGATCCAGCCCGACGGCTTGCACTGATGCACTTGCGCAGGATATGCACAGTACTTCTGAGCTCCAGCAGCGGTGCACTGGGCTCGACCTGGGTGTGGCTTTGGTTGTGTCTTTGCGTCTGCTGTTGCAGCGCCGCACAACTGGAGAGGACAAGGGGCCTGGAATAGGAGCTCTATTTTGGTGCTTGTTCTTTTTTTTGGCGATGCATAGAAATGCATAGGCATAAAGCCTTGTGGAACTCAATATATGAATGCAGAGAGGAACAAAAGAAGAGAAATCGCCGCGCGCTGAAGCACGATGCTGAGTGCCAGGCTGGTTCCTCTCCTGCGTGGGGCCTTGTGTACCGGCCCTATTCCCAACACACAAAGACATGATACAGTTTCCTGTTCTCTGGAAAACATCGATACAGTGATTCATGTCAAGGCAACCGCAACCTGGCAGAGCAGACGTTTTTATGTGGCTTGTGGGGAGAGTGCGAATAGCCTCTTGTGACAACTGGATGGCTCGTTCGCAACCTTTATAGGACACCTTGCCCATGCCAACATGCAAATCAGGTTCTGCGCATGCCTATGGCCATGCTCAGCCGTTGTGACACGTTTACTCCCATATGGACGAAATCTTGGCGTTTTCATCTATAAATGCGAGCAGAGGAACGAGCACAGTTAAGGCACTGTTGCGGGGCTCCGACGGTTCAGCAAGGTAACCAAGACATGAGACGAAGACCGCCTATTGCCATGGTGGCTTTGGGGCCGCAAGCTAACCCTTTAATGCCTCGCCGTTTGTGTTCGCACTCAATAGAACCCGAGGCCCGTGGGTGGGGGTTCCCCTGGCATTGCAAGTGCGGTTGTAGGGGCGCTGACACAGTAGAGACTCGGGGCACCGACACAGCAGAGACTCAGGGCGGCGTACCTGGCACATGCTACGGAGTCTAAATGCGGTTTGTTCGTTATTGTACGGAGATTTGACTGTCAGGTTGTCGGCACACGAGCCGAGTACGGGTAGGGGAGGGGTAGCACACGAGATACACACAAATGTGCGTTACAATACATGTGTGGATTGCAGAAAACTTCAGATGTTGGTTCAGTACGGGCAATACCCCCAAATGGCGCTTTACAAGCACCCACGGGAGCTTGTGTTCGTGTGTTCGTCGCTGCACAGCACATACAAACAAGTGACACCGAAAGGGTCGAATTCGTGGACGGTATGGTTACTTATTGGCTTATTAAAAAGGCAAAGGTGATACGTTCGGTGGTTCTCAGCTGTACAAACAACTAAGAGAGCAACAAACAATAGATGACGGCGCATCCCGCCCGTGGGACTGTGGGGTGCCTCTGGCACGGCGAGCCCCACATGCTGGTGCATGCACGCTGGTTCACTGACGACTTGTTTCATCTCCGCTATGGCGTATTCGCAAAAGCACATTCCCGCATTGTTGTACCAATGTGAGCAAAATTGCTATTTATTATTTCCGAATATGCATCGGAACTGCTTACTGCCGAGCATGCATACCTGTCCTCATACCATTGTCAACGGTAACGAATGTCCACTCTCCAGTCAGAAGAACGGCTAGAGCTTCAATAAATAAATATAAGTAACGAATGTCCACTCTCCAGTGAGAAGAACGGCTAGAGCTTCAATATAGTCAAAATACTATGGCGTTTGTACAAATCACCTGACATCTCATCCAGGCCGAGGACTCCTGAGATCAGCGGCCCAAGGGCCTGGGTTTAGCCTGTCCAGAGGGCGTGCCACTAATAATAGGCAGCGTGCAGGCAAGTAGAAGCAGAGCACCGGAGTGTTGATGTAGGCAATGTGGGGTGTTTGATTCTTCATGCAGACCGGATTGCTACTCAACACTAGTTGCAACGATGTGCGTTGCCCAGTAGATAGAACCACCTCACACCCAGGACCTAGGGCCTCTGTGCCCAACATATTTAACGACGGCACGTATGGCCTACTTGTGTTGGGAGCTTTCGGCTCAAATTTCTTGTCCTAATTGCAGCTAACGAGGGTTCCCAACTGAAGTGGATGGCCGTCACTACATGTACCTTCAACATGTGTGAGACGACCGCCACGCAGCTCCCGGAACTCTACAACCGCATGGTGATTGACGCCTGATATTGTTCCAAGTAGCTTTCTTTCTACGTTGTTTGAAGGTATATAAGTTCCACAGAACTCCAACGGAATTCATATAGCTTGTCTCATTGTGAGGACTGCCCCTGGGCAGAGCACCCAGGGCACACGGGACAGAAACTTAAGCTGTCCAATGTCGCAATACCATTTGTGGAAAGGTTTCTCGCGCGGACAACAGAACTTGCACAAGTAGCCACTTCTGCATCATATCCGGGTTCGTATGGTTGGTAGATGTACACTTTAGAGTGCAGATACTTGCTGCTGGAGCCTATGCGCCTTTTACAATTGGAGGCGGCATTAATGAATGCATCCGGAATAATAGTGAATGACCCTTTTTTAGTGATAACGATTCTGCAATACCCAATGCAGCATAAGGCAGCTGTGGTCCATAATGCTGGCACTGAAAAGTACCTCCAAAATGTTGGTGCCCTTCCCCTTATTAGGTGTACTACACTGTTTCACCAATTCTATGGGAGTTGCGCTATCATGACGGCCTTCAGTTGACACCGTGGAGACCTTCCATTGGCACATCCAGCTTGTGGCCAAGACAGTAAGAATTCATGGACACTGGGCCGGGAGGGCTGCAGTTTCAGCATTTGAACTGAGAAGGTATGTTTGTTTGCAGCGTTCATTGTACGGGAACTGCGACCTTTGTTTGGAAGCTTCCGTACGAAGGATAGAAGCACGGGAAAGTCGCAGATAGGTCAGGTCCTTAATCTACTCATAAACTGGACTGCCCCGCTCACGCCGCATCCGGGGAGACGGCGAGCGCTGCCTCTTCGGAGAAAGATCTCTTGATTTAGCGGATGTACTGCGCCCCTGCTGATGCTGACCCCTGCAGCAACGGCATCAGCAGTAGAAACACTGCACCACCATGGTAATTTGTTCAGAAGGAATGAGGCTGCGACGGCGTTGAAACAGATTGACGAACAAGGATTGGGACAAATAATTCAGAGTAAATACGGAAATCAGAGGGAGAACCGGAATTGAAGCGAAGGGGTGAAACAGATGCCAATGAAGAAGGGTAAAGGGAAAAAGAGCTATGGCGAGTGATATAGGATAGAACTCACCGCAGGGCCCGTTGCAGTCCCTCGGCTGCTTGCAGCTCCTCTGGGGTTGGAGGAATGTAAACTCCCTACGGATATCCACAAAGCATCACAAACCAGCTTGCTTCGTTTCCATAATTCGTGTCGTACTAGTGCGGCAGCGCCTGACGCTTGCAGATGACTACACGATTTCGGTCAAAAAGCATCAAACTTGAGTCTCTTTTCGGGAACGCACGCAGCAAGAAGCTGAAACTAGACATGAGCGTTCGGCATAGATTTCCTGCAGCTTACCCCTGCCCTCGACTTCCACTGGCCCAGCCGAGTGTCCCACATGTCTCCTTGTGCTCTCCTTCTTTGGGGGGAAGGGCTCCTCACCGCAAACCTTCGTGCGCACAATTAGACAAGGCACACGTGCAAACGTTAGCAACGCAAAACCGGCTCGCAAATGGGGCCAAAGACAGGCAGCATGGTCCCCAGACGTAGCACACTGGACCCCGAAGAGCCACTACCGGGGCTGGAAGAGCCTGATAAGCGCAAATACTGTGCATCGTCGGCCGCTGTGTCCGTTGCTTGGCGGGCACTTCTGTGCATAGTGGACAAGTACAAGGATAAGTCCCCGAAGTCAGAAGCAACGACACACAAAAATGTGCGTTATTGCATAACAGAAGAGCCATGACGCCTCACACATAGTGGGGAACGAAATATGCAAGAGAAGCAGCCGCCTACCGATCATGGGTCCAACTTCGAGGGCTTCTGCTGCATCGCCGCGGCCTGCCGTTGCTGAGCAGGCACCACATGAAGACAACTGCAATCGAAATGCAAAAGATACATCCAGTGCATCATCCGGCAAACAAAAGATATTCTCAGAGGAGAGCAACGTCAACACAGCCTCATGAAAGAGGGGCAGCGTTTTGGACAGTTTGCACCGGGGACGGCTCGAGAATCTTTGCTCAAAGACACGGAGGAATGCTACCGGCTTGCATTAGTACAGACACAGGAAAGGGCCGTGGAAAAGGAAAGCGAAGAAGGATAGAAGGGGCAGCTGAGAGACCGATAAGATACGGACTCGCGCGTGTAAGCCCGAGGATCGTGGGCCGCGAAGAGAGGATTGGTGCGCTGGGGCGGCGGAGACTTGGAAGCGCGTCTGTAGCAGAGAAGTACCGAGAGCAGCGTGGGGAACAGTAAAGCAGACTGTTCAGGCTGCCCCCAAACAGGCGACGAGATACAGGACCACAAGCATAATGTGCTGAAGATGCGAACACTAGGAGGCCGGGGAGGAAGACGAGGCTTCACGGACTTGAACCAACCACCAATATACATATGAAGCGGCATACTGCACCCAGCAGCAGATACCGGACCCAATGAAGCCAGTAAACAGCAAGAAACATGATTCACACAATCATAACAAGGGAAACACCTTACGCAGACATGCCACATGCACAGGCAGACACGCACTCACACATCTTCGACAGGCAGTAGATAATTAAAATGGCTGCGAAGCAACAACCTCGCCAGTTGAAAGGCCCGACAGAAGCTAGTCACAGGGGGACACAGAGAGCCAGGAGGGAATGCAGCTGACCAGGCAGGTCAAACAGCGGCCACGCTGACTGGCTATACAGCTAAACAGATTGCTATCTAGTGCGCGAGTCAACTGCTCCACAGAGACTACCACCAGCAGCCTGAGAGGAACTGGCTCCGTCTCAAGGTGCTGCAGAGGGGGTTCAGATTCTGCCCCGTTAAAATACCCTTATTGGAATGTAACCAGAGCAAACGTCTCCTCAAACTAGGGCAAAACGAAATGCAGGTGACAACGGCAGGATGATGCGTACGGCGGGTCAGAGGCTACGAGCAGAAACAGCAGCACAGCCAGCAAAAGCTTTAGCGTCGAGAAGAAAACAAAGGTAGCGGCCGCAGCAGCAAAGCATGCGAGACAACCAGAGGGGCTCAACAGGGACATCCTTACTTGGGGAGGTATATCTTCTGCCTCTGCTGCCACTCCGCGAACGGGGAGAGCGCCACGGGCAGCGCCGTCGCCTAGTTCTGCTCCGTCCTCTACTGCTACTGCGTTGTCTGCTGTTGCTTCTACCTTTACTGTTGAAGCTCCTTTTGTCTCTTTTGCGGCTACTGGTACTGCTATTCATGCCCTGTTCACTTCTGCTGCAGCTTCTGCTCCTGCTCATGCTCATGCAGCCTCTGTATTGGCGGTACCTGTAGTGACTTCGTCTCGACTCTTCTCCTGGCATTCCCAAACTTCTGCTTCTTCGGGCCCTGCTGCGGCTACGGCTAGCATTACTGCTGCTTTCCCAGCCATGCAGACGTCGGCTAAAGGGATGTCTGGGCCTACGTGCTGCCTTGCTGTTTCTGCCCTTCCCAGTGTTGATACTGCAGCAGCTACTGCTGCTGCTTCGTCTTCTATTTCTTCTGTTGGCGTAGGAGGGTTCATCTGCTGAAGGCTGCCTTGTTCGGGAAGGAGGAGTAATGAGAATGACGTCGTCGGAAGAGCCGCTGGCCGAGCGGCGCCTTGATGCTGCACTGAGAGCTCCTGTGCTGCTGTTGCCGATGTCCTTGCACTTCCTGCTGCAACTCCCGTCGTTGCAGCTGCAGCTGTTGTCTTTGGAGAAGCTGCACTTGTTGCTGGTGGTGTCGTAGTGGTCCTTGCTCCTACTTCTGCTTTGGGCGGTAGTACAGCGGCCCTCGTTGCCGGTATTTGCAGCCTCACTAGAAGCATCCAACGTGCTTTTGCTGCTTTTGCAGCCTATGTTCGCTGCGGTCTCTGACCTGCTGCTGGCAGGAGAGCAACGCCAGGAGCCGCGGCTGCGAAGAGGGATATGCGGCCCCATTAATGCGTCTCGTACAGGACTTGGACCTGTTCGCATCATTGGGTTGTCGCTAAAGGCTATGAGAGACAGATTTAGGCGTGCACATGAATCTTAGGGCATTGCTCATACATTCCACTGACCTGCTGCCTGCTTCCTAGGCTTCAGGTGAAAGATAGGGCCACACTGTAAGAGCTAGCGACTAGATGTAGCGACCAATCGTAAGCAGCTGATCCATGCTTACTCTACACTTGGCCAACCGCCCAAATATGTTTCTCTCTATGCTTCGTCGCTGCTGCTATGTTGCACAGGGGGCCACCTGTGCAGTCGGAGATCTAGTGCTGGCTCCGCTAGGGGCCCCCAGGGGAAGCCCTTCTTACAAGGTTTGTCTTCCAGCAGGGAAGACGCGTTAATGAGTATAATTCACCTAACGCGAGGGCAGACTGGAGACCTCCACCTTAGCAGGGCCGCTTGCGGCGCGCGAGACAGCCAAAGGTGCCTCACGGGCTCCACCAGCACCAACTCGCCTTCCAGGGAATCCATTGGCTTTCTCAGTGCACTTGCTTTGTGCTGGCTCTTTTTTTGCTCAGAGAAAGCAAAGAAGGACCCGATGACAATGCGAACAAGCTAGGGTAGTATGGTGCCTGGGGGGACTGTCCCGTGGGGCCCCTGGGGCCCGGGGCCCCTAGGGCCCCTATGGCACCAGTAACTTTAACACGACTCCGAAGGGAACAAAAGCCCCTCCTAAGGCTGTCCTCTGCTTTTTGGGATGACACACAGTTCTTTTATGGCATTCGGACTCCAGAGTGCTGTCGTGCATAGGCCAGAGCAGGGTGGAGGATCAGCAACAACAACAGCAGCAAGAACAGCCATAACGACTACCATTACGGCAACAACAATAACAACAGCATCAACGACAACAACGACAACATCAACGACAGTAACGACAACAGCAACAGCGGCTACCACTACCATTACAGAGAAACAACCAAACTGCACCAGCAAATGCAACGGCGAAAAACGGCACCCGACGATGGCTATGGTTGACGGAAGCGCCTACTGGGGAACAGAGCCGTGCGACATATGCATTTTTGAGTGGGCCTTACGATGGTCATTGTGTGCTTATTTCCTTGCTGCAGCAACGGTTGCTGCTGCAGCCTCACGATGGCCCCTCCTCGCCTCCTTCGCAGCCCATGGCAAAGTTCGGCAGAAGCGAGAGGCCCGACGGGAGCACAAACAGCAGCAACAGCAGCAGATTCTGCAGAAGACTCGACTTGTTCGGTTTCTGCGGTGGGTGGAGACAAAAGACTGTAGTAAACTCCGATTTATGGACTTCTACGCCACTGGCGTTTTTGTGACGTGCTGTTGCTTGGTGTCGCTGTACAAGCAACAACAGCAGCTGCCAGAGCAGCAGAAGCAGCAACTGAGTTATTGGAAGCTGCTGCCTCTCACATTGTTGCTAGTGCACCTATTGCGCCGACTGGGAGAGCAGCTGCTGTTGGTGGCCTCGGACGACGCTTCTCGAATGCACATCTTCGCATATGTTTTGGGTTGCACGTGAGGAACGCCAACGATCTTGCTGCTTCTGCAAGTGTTGCACAGATTACGTGTGTTGCTACTGCTGTCAATGCTGCTGTCGCCGCTGCTCCAATGCGTATGGTTTTCCTCTGCTCGCCGTACGTTAGAGCGCTGCATTTGCTGGTGCACCTGTTGTTTGTACGGCCGTTGCGGCTGATGGGGTGGTCCCCTTGTGCATTACCAAAGATAAATTGACCCTCTTTGTCTCGCTCTGCACGGATGTAGGTTTTACGTCGCGACTCCCCTTGCGTTCCTGTGCGCCACGAGGCAGCCCCAGAGTCCAAATCCTCTGCAGGTGGGGGCATCCGTTGGACTCTGGGCATTATCAACTTTGGTGCAGGTACGTGGGTGCAGTGTGTGCAGCCGATCCGATGCTGATGATTCCTCTAAACTGCTATGGATGCCGCGGGTGCCACTCCCTGCAGTAAGCTGCAGCAGGACTCTCTTCTTGTTCTTCGCAGTTCTCTGCACATGTTTCACTGGCCGCTTTGAGACGACAAGGGGCTCGGGAATTGGCCCTGGCGGACTGTGGGGTTCCTACCGAGACAGCAGGGAGGGCAGCAGATCCTAGTCGGGGAATAACAAAGATGCGTAGCAACTGCAACAACAGAAGCAGCAGCGCCGACACTAGCAACAGCGGGGGCAGCAGCCTCCACACTAACAGCAACACCAAGGCATGGGAGATGAGAGGGCCCTACGGGGTGCCTCATGGGCCCCTCTTTGCGTACATAAGCTGTCCTCACTACCTGAGTGAGGTGTTGATCTATTTGTCCCTTTTTATATCCGCCCCCGACGCCCCCACGTGAGCGCTTTTGAAGCTGCGGCTAACTGTCGCTTCTTGAACGCTATTTGAGATCGCATAGATATCTTTCTTCTGTAGTTCATGTACTCTATCATCATGTCATCCAATGCATTGTACCTTATCTTGTATGGGTTTACTTTCCTCAGAGATCTACTCCTGCTTATCAGCAGGCAGATGGCCCCTGGAGACACATTGAGCAGTTCTGATGTGTGCGTGCATTTTTGCTGCAGCTGTTGCTGCTGCCTCTATGTGCTCCTGTGCATGGCTTCTAACGGTAAGGGCAATCAGACGGCAGCAGCATGCACTCGTGCATGGCAGCATAGAATAAGGAAAGAATGGAACACCAGAGAATAAACACTAGCAAATACGTGCGTGCCCAAGAAAGACTTCAAAAGATACACTCTTCAGGGTGCATAGTTTGCGGAGTGTCTGTCTTACCTTGCAGCTCACCAGTCGCACCGATGGTATCGTGAAGTGTTCGGTTCCGCCTACCCTGCGTATGTCCTTCCTACAGCTGTCATGATTGCTGTTGTTCACGCTGCGAGGCCAGGGGGTTCTACTAGGGCCGTTCGCTGCATGCAGCTGACAGTTCCCTTCCGTCTCTGTGTCACCGTCCCCCATGCGTCTACGGGTTTGAAGACAGCTTATTAATATCCTCCGTGAGGCTGTTCGTCTCAGCAGTTTAGAGTACCTACACATCATGTGAATGCTGCTTGCAGAGAACGACGCATGCTGCTTCCCATGGTCTACTAGGGTTTGCAGTTCTCACTGTCGTTTTGGCCACATGCGGTATCCAGGATAGCCTCCATGCTGCCGCCTGGGGGTAAATTCTTGAAAGATCTCATTGCAGGCCCATATTGTAGTATTCTAGTGGTGTATTGGCAGGATATTCAGGCTACATGATCCACAGGTTAGGCGAGGGGTCTATGACAGTTACCGGCGTTCTACACTCCGAAGGGAGATGGGACGTAAAGCCTACTGGTGGAACTACCAAAGTATAGAGGAGCTGGTGTGAGTCATGGACTAGACTCCCGGAAATTGTCTATGGATCACAGGGAATTGATTTACGTGTAGTTCGTAATTACTTGTTCCTATCTGCTAAGTGGCTGGATGAGGGGGGGAATCTGCTATCCAACCTCAACTGTGTGGCCACTGGAATTTCATGTAGCCAGTTAACCAATCGTTAGCGGCTCTAGGAGACTCCAATTAACTGCAGCGCAAGCGGGGGGGTGAAGGCGCAATGACGCTGAATAAGACGTCTGGCCCCCAAAGTCGCGTGTTGCAGGCAGTTCAGTGGGAGGTAGAGCCGCCGAACCTACGGCAGCGAGGCGACTGCCAGTTGCTTTTCTAAGACAGAAAAATCATACACTTGTTTCTAGAGGTTTGGCGATCCTGTTTTTAATATCCAAATTGTCCTTAACACATTCGAAAGGAACTGTCGCAGGGGGGATACTGACGTGTCAACTCTGATCAGATGTGGATGCCCTCTAAGCCCCTTTTTCCCTGCGGTAGCTTGCAAGTGGAGGCGAGGTTTCTCGCACTGCCCTCACAGGGCAAAATGTTCTAGCCTACACAGCTAAGGATACTTCAGTTCTCGAAGTTTAGGCGAGAAATTATGTTTTATCCCAATGGTGAACCTATAGCCGTCACAGACCCTGACGAGAAACGGTGGTCTGAAACTCCACGAATAGAGGCCATACAGCCTGCAAGCTTCTTCGAATAAAAATTTAAGCACCCCAGTCCTTGCTCTGCTTTTAGGTGTCCTTGCAAGAAGCAGTAGTAGAGAATCCTTGACCCCGCACGTCTTGCAGCTGTGGGCGAAGATGACGAGTGGTAAGTTGGGGCTTTCAGACGAAGTTTCTTCAGTAATCAGGATCAACCTAAATACAGAAGGAATATTTAGCAAATCATTAGGTAAAAATTATATTGCATACAGTGGTTGCTTTGAGTAAAATGCATTCGGGGGCCTTCACTGCATGCATGCTGCGTATATACATGCCTACCGCCGCAGCCAAACCCATCAAGGAGGCTGCTGCTCATGCTACTGCTGCGCTCCCCGTACTCCAGGTGGAAGGGATCCTTTGGCGAGATTTTGGGCTCTCCTTGTAGGGATTCTTTTAGGGTGTTGAACATTTAAAGGGAGCCTTGCAGCGAAAATGGCAGTAAGCTCCGAATCTGAGTGCTTCACCTGGTTCAAATGCTTTTGTGGGGTGTGGCTAGGCCCGCTGTGACGGCACATTAATAGAGCTTTTCGTGCGAGTCTTTCTCTTATTTAATCATGTAGCTTTTCGAAAATTGTTTTTTAGTTGTGGGAAATTCCCCGGGGGCGCGGCGCACGTGCGTCATCAAGCGACTTGCATGTGGGGGGAGAGGTCTTGGGTCGCCGTTTTGAATAGCACATTATAGCTCGTGTGGGCATCTCTGCGCCTTCAAATTTCTCTGCAAATGCACTTGTGACTCGTATTCCTACCTTTGCGTGCTTTATCGTGCCATCTATATGCATAGCCAGCGTATTTTGGATTGCAAGTGCTGGGCAGCAACGTGTCGGTTTCTTCGTTCTATATTTTCGCTCTTTTGGAAGCGCTTCATTTCATTTCATTTGAATTCTGTAGGTGTTTCAAGGAGTGTACCTGTCCGTATTGGGGCGTGTTGTTGCTGCCCGTGTTTTCCATGCAGGATCGCTTCTCGGCCCGTCTCATGAAGCCCTTTGAGGGCGTTCCTCTTTCGGAGGGCGCACTATTGAAACAGAAGCGCGATGCGGCTCTTGTTGAAGCGCGGAAGAAGGCTCTGATGGCCATGCGGAAGGTGCGTTGTGGCTTTTCTTGGTCATACCACATAGGATCCTGCGTGATGGGATGTCTTTTTTGCCCTGTCGATGGGAGATTTTAGTCCTAAGGTGCCTTTTTGCTTACCTCTAACGGAATTTATTGGCGTGTTTGAAATACGTTGCCTTCAGAAGAGGGCCGAAACACGTCATGCCCTCAAGCTGCGCACCTACAAGTACGTCAAGGAGTACCGCCAACAACGCGAGGAACTCATCAAGAACAAGCGGGAAGCCCGAGCTCAGGGTATGTTTTCCTTTGCCGTATTAGATGACTTTTAGAGTGGATTTGTTAAGTATCTTGTTTTTCATCGTTGCTCGATAGTGGCTCAAGGATGTAAATTGATATACCGATGCGGCCGTTAGGTCGCCTGCGGAGTTTTGTAAACATTGTTTCAATCGCTTTCTGACAGAGCCATTCCTTGTTCAGCCTACGTGACTCATTCGTGCTTTGTGGGTTCTTGGTTGCACTAGCAATAACAAGTACACTACCCGCGCAACTAGCGGGTGGTTTGCTTTTATTCACGAGGCGGGCGCCAGCTGATGATGAACAGCAAAATCAGATGGGGTGATTTGACTCCCTTGAAGAATTCATTTATCTTGAGTTTCAATCGCTTGCTGAAAGCAGCGCTCTATGCCTTTTCCCCAGGCAATCACCTTCCTGCCTTGTATGTGCTCTCTGGTGCAAGAGTTTCGGTTTGGCTGACCAGTTTTGTTCGAAGGAAGTTCTGTTCTTGCGTTTACATGCTGGTTTCAGGCGGCTTCTACAGAGCCCCCGAGGCGAAGGTAGTGTTTTGCATTCGCATTAAGGGTATCAACAAATTGGCGCCCAAGCCAAAGATGATTCTGCAGCTCTTCCGCCTCCGCCAGCTGCACAACGGCGTCTTCATCCGCGTGAACAAAGCGACTATGGAGATGCTGCAGGCTGTTCAGCCGTTTGTGACTTACGGCTATCCCAGCCTGTCCACTGTTCGAAAGCTAATTTACAAACGGGGCTACGGTGCGTGGATCACACCCACATGGGCTGGGTGGGCCTAGGGATTTCGAACCAAAAACGGAGTTCTTCATACCACAGGGCGTTACTGGCTCCCCCAATTTAGTTTGGATATATGGTTCCGTTTTTGCTTTTCAGCGAGAGTTGGCGAGATGGGATCAAAGCAAAGAGTGCGCCTGCAAGATAACGACGTCATTGAGAAGCACTTGGGCAAGTACGGCATTCACGGCATTGAAGATCTTGTGCATGAGATATACACGTGCGGCCCCGCATTCAAGCAGGCCAACGCATTCCTCTGGACCTTCAAGCTCAACTCTCCCAGAAAAGGCTTCAAGTGCAAGCGCCACGGATTCTGCGAGCCTCGTGCCGGTTAGTTTCCATGCTTGCGCATTGCACCTGTTTAATAGCAGTTCGTCGTCTGTTCCAGCTTATTAACGTAGCGTATTACTCAGTAAGCTGCTCACTTCATATTTTGCATTGGATTCCACACTTTCGTTCGTTGGTCTGCAGGTGATTGGGGTAACCGCCAGGAACTCATCAACGAACTCGTAAAACGAATGTGCTAAGCAGTCAATGGTCTAAGTGCCTCGAGGAAGCAGCCACCGTAGCATTCCAGCTAATAGCTTTCCGGGAAGCTGCAGATGTGTGAGGGGAGCTGCAACTGCATCGCGCAGTAGTAGCAAACCTCCGTCAGTTCGTCCGTACTGAGCTGCACAGCCTCGGGCCCAGGTGGCTTCTGGGGGGGGGGGGGGGGGGGGGGGC